TAAAAGGCAACTTTCAATTGTGCTAGACTTTGGACGTCTTGACCAGTGTTGTTCTGACCTATCCAATGCTTAACATTAGTGATTCTATCACAATATTTGCCCGGCGCGATAGATAAGTTGGTTAAACCAGCTGTGCGGCGACCAGTGACACACTCCTTGTGGTTCGAGTTCATTCTCGGGGGTAGGCAGAAAAGCCACATATTTTCCAGATTTACGCTATCTGTCATGCTATCAAGGCTGAAGGGTTGCAATATCCATAGTACCGAACCAAAGAGTTTACAACTCATGGTTTGTGGATTACAAAAAAATAATAATACCCTTTGACTCCCTCTATACTCTGCAGCACCAATCCTCAGCCTTACTGATGATTCAAACCAGGTTCTCCCGATTAAGAGCAAAGCATTCTTAACTGTTCCTCCAGGGCTTTCATAAACAGCTGACATTATGGGGAATACAACAGCATGATCAACAATATGAACACAACTGTACCTCCATCTGACTGTGTCAGCTCTGTACGACGAATGAACCCCAAGAAGCCGGTGCGGGCGTAACTGGTGTGGATGTCTCCAGTTGCCAGCTGGGAGTCAAAATGGTCATGGTGCAGAGATTCGTCCCCGTAGATGGTGAAGTAACCACAGGCATTGTGTGGGCTGCTTACCCAGATCTGGTGGGATGTTGAAAGAAACAAGTATTGGTTTCCTGTAGTAAAGTCATGCTAAAGATTGGAGAAAGCTGTCATAAACATGATATCATTACTTGTAACCTTTTCCTTCTGTGTTCACCCTTAGAAGGGTGGTCGGCACTGAGGTTTCAGCAGGCGGTGATAGCATGGTTTCAGCCCAGAAATATCCTATTTTAGTAAATTCTTATTCAGCCGTCTTTTACAACATGTTTGTTAAGGAGCGGTAGATCTATCCCCCCCCCCCCCCCCCCCCCCCCCCCCTTCAAGCCTGGGTCCCGGAACCTACAAGGGGGACCACTTGTATTGAATTTAGAATCAAATACCTGTTCCCTATAAAGGCAGACTTTGACCCCCAGGCCGACCCACCCTAAAATGGGTACCAGGTAATGTCATGAAAAACAAAGATGACCAGTGTATTGTCGACAACATCACTGACTGGTTTACAAAAATAGTAGTCTAGCACTAGACAGAAGCTTCTACTCGTTACCTAAATAATTCAGAGAACTGTGTTAGTGCTATGGCTAGCACGCTTGCCGTTGCCTAGAGACAATTTGAATTTCCTTCAAGCTATATTTTCTAACCTGACCTGGAAGTTAACAAATGGGTACCTTGAAACATTCTGGGAAGTAAAGGTGACTATTATAACACTGATAACATATCTCATCAACTGCTATAAAAATGTATGGCCGACACACACAAGGATCACATGTCAGAAGTCTGCAGATATTGCTCTAAGGATCACTCCCTGAACAAGTGCTCACTGGCAAATGCAGACAAGGTCTTTGTAAAACAGTGGAATGCAGCAGTGACTGCCTCCACACTCCATTTTCAAACAGGCTTTGTTGCACTAAGCAATGTCCATTCACTTTTGCTATGAACCCCCATGCACTTCGTCTGCCTCTCAGAACAGAGCAATCACTTGTGCAGGAATTGTCATGAATCATTTGCTGAACTTCTGATTCTGCAGCGCCAGATGGCCAGACCCTGCAATCACAACCCAAAGTGATAAGAACCCTACACCCCTAAACAAGTCTGAAACTTGCTCAGACACTTTGACCCACACCTCACCTCGCACAAATTTATCAAACCTGCATACAAGTCTGATTGTGTGTTTAGCTTGCGTCACCCAAGACCTTTCTCTTTTCAGTTTGTGACCCTTAGCTCTACCCAGGGCTTCATGCAGGAGGTGCTTCTTATCTGCAGCTACTCTGAGATATGGCTTTGCTTGCAGAACTTTGAGCCTATCTGCAAAAGTAGGCAGTGCAAGCATATACTGCATACATACTACTGAGGTATCACTTGTACACCCCAGAATTAACCGCATGGCTTCATTCTGTATGCGTTCAAGTTTCATCAGCTAACTCTTTGATATGGTAAGCATTCAAAGTCTATAATCTATCACCAAAAGGATCATATGCTGGAACGTTGTAAACAGCATTCTTTGTTCCATGTCCATTGCTGCCATAATCTTGAGAGCATTGAGTCGTTTTTGGCAAAGAAAATGTTACCAACATGCTTAACATGCATAAACGTGCCTGCATACATGTATAAATCAAATGAAACAAGGTTTATTGTCGCAAACAATAACTAAGATATTCATATCAAGACCTCTTACCTCTCCAAGGTGGGAGTCTGCGCACTGGCCTTTAGTTTCAGGGTTAGCAATGGCAACCTTAACTCCAGGCAATAGCTGTCAATGGAAAACATTGAGTCATTATGTTAGAATTATGATTAAAAATTGACAATAAAACCAACAGTTTTTCCTAAGACTGTCTGATAGAGATCGAGTACTGTGAAAGTATACAAGATTTGTAAACCTTAATGAAAACAATGCTAGTGAGACAAGATGAAGGCAAATGTAGAAGTCGGAAAGCAATTTGAAGATACCAAAACATGGACAGGAAACAGAATATCAAACTACATCACTATTGCCAAGAGATAGGTAATAATGGAGATTTATTGCAATACAAATGGACAGCCATTTCCCTGGAAACCACAGGGTAAATTAAATGGACAAGAACATAAAAGCAGAGGGAGAAAAGAAACAGAGCTGAAAAATGTGAGGAGAACATCAAGGAGCTAACAAGGGTTTGGTGTGAATGGTTAAGGGTTTAGGCATAAGATGAGAATGAGGAAGGAGAATGATAAGGATGAGGAGGAGACGAAGAAGAACATGAGGATGAAGATCAACATGAAAAGGAAAATGAAGAAGATTAAGAGAAGAAGAAGGTGGTGGTGAGGCAAAGAACAAAAGCAATTATGAAACATGATTTTCTCTTTTGCGTGTTTAATATAAGCCTGGTTTACGACATGTTGCACTAGGCACTATCTTTTGCTTCTGTGTGCAGTTTGCCCCTTCTTTTCCACTTCATTCTCTAATTTCCTTCTCCACTGTTTGGGGTCTGCCTTTATTCCTTTATCCCTGTGGGTTCCAGTACATGGACATTCTGGTTGTATTTTATCAGGTTTTCTCAATGTGTGTCCTGTCTGATGCCAGCCTCTTTACCTCACCTTCTAATTCAGTGGATCTGTTTAATTCTTTCCCAAAGCTCTACATTAGTGATTTTAAAATACCATTTCTTCTTGTCTTCTCCTTAAACAGGGCAGTTGGCAGGCTGTGCTGTGGTTTACAATATCTTTCGGCCCAACACATCCAATTTCAGCAAATTCCTAATTACAATATGCTTGTTAGGGTGGCAGCGTCTGCTCTTTTTACCCACTAAATCACACAGGAAATAACATTTCCTTCCTTCAATTCCAGTTAATGATTTTAATTAAATAACAGTGTGGTGTCTTACTTTGCCAGATTCTAACAGACAAGGATTGTGGGCAGTCTTACCTTGTCAGATTCTAACAGACAAGGAATGTGGGCTGTCTTACCTTGCCAGATTCCAACAGACAAGGATTGTGGGCTGTCTTACCTTGCCAGATTCTAACAGACACAAGGAATGTGGGCTGTCTTACCTTGCCAGATTCCAACAGACAAGGAATGTGGGCTGTCTTACCTTGTCAGATTCCAACAGACACAAGGAATGTGGGCTGTCTTACCTTGCCAGATTCTAACACACAAGGAATGTGGGCTGTCTTACCTTGCCAGATTCCAACAGACACAGGGAATGTGGGCTGTCTTACCTTGCCAGATTCTAACACACAAGGAATGTGGGCTGTCTTACCTTGTCAGATTCCAACAGACACAAGGAATGTGGGCTGTCTTACCTTGTCAGATTCTAACACACAAGGAATGTGGGCTGTCTTACCTTGTCAGATTCCAACAGACACAAGGAATGTGGGCTGTCTTACCTTGTCAGATTCCAACAGACACAGGGAATGTGGGCTGTCTTACCTTGTCAGATTCCAACAGACACAAGGAATGTGGGCTGTCTTACCTTGCCAGATTCTAACACACAAGGAATGTGGGCTGTCTTACCTTGTCAGATTCCAACAGACACAGGGAATGTGGGCTGTCTTACCTTGTCAGATTCTAACAGACACAGGGAATGTGGGCTGTCTTACCTTGTCAGATTCTAACACACAAGGAATGTGGGCTGTCTTACCTTGTCAGATTTTAACAGACACAAGGAATGTGGGCTGTCTTACCTTGTCAGATTTTAACAGACACAAGGAATGTGGGCTGTCTTACCTTGCCAGATTCTAACACACAAGGAATGTGGGCTGTCTTACCTTGTCAGATTTTAACAGACACAAGGAATGTGGGCTGTCTTACCTTGTCAGATTTTAACAGACACAAGGAATGTGGGCTGTCTTACCTTGCCAGATTCTAACACACAAGGAATGTGGGCTGTCTTACCTTGTCAGATTTTAACAGACACAAGGAATGTGGGCTGTCTTACCTTGTCAGATTTTAACAGACACAAGGAATGTGGGCTGTCTTACCTTGCCAGATTCTAACACACAAGGAATGTGGGCTGTCTTACCTTGTCAGATTTTAACAGACACAAGGAATGTGGGCTGTCTTACCTTGTCAGATTTTAACAGACACAAGGAATGTGGGCTGTCTTACCTTGTCAGATTTTAACAGACACAAGGAATGTGGGCTGTCTTACCTTGCCAGATTCTAACACACAAGGAATGTGGGCTGTCTTACCTTGTCAGATTTTAACAGACACAAGGAATGTGGGCTGTCTTACCTTGTCAGATTTTAACAGACACAAGGAATGTGGGCTGTCTTACCTTGCCAGATTCTAACACACAAGGAATGTGGGCTGTCTTACCTTGTCAGATTTTAACAGACACAAGGAATGTGGGCTGTCTTACCTTGCCAGATTCCAACAGACACAAGGAATGTGGGCTGTCTTACCTTGCCAGATTCTAACAGACACAAGGAATGTGGGCTTCCCTTCTCCACCAGAGTCACTCTGTCATTTCTCAAAGCTCTCATGTCCACATAAGCAGTGGTCGTCTCAGGGCAGGAGGCTCCCTATAAAACAGCAGTGAATGACATTAACTTTGAGGATGACATACTCTATGTGTGTGTCTAACATGACCAGTTTTAGAGTAGTGATGATGCCTAGTGATTTACAGGGAAGGGTCATTAGGTGGTGGTAAGGGGTCATGCAAGTAAACTTCGAACCTCTGTGGCTTTCAGGTTATCGTAAGAATTTCTCACCTTGTGGGTTCCAGGGCCCCATCATAGGGAAAACAAGAAAAGATCCACTGCCTCACTAACAAGAATGTCATAAGAGTCGACTAATTAGGGGATTCCTTCGAGGAGTGCATCTGCCCGAGCAGAAGGGAACAACCAACTGTACACAAATAAGACTGTAAAATGGATGTATGACATGCTAGATTTTGTGTGGGCCCTTTCAGTGGGAGTGAACAGTGCGGAGGCAGAAACAGATCATTACGGTCTGAGAAAAATGGCGCTGTGGGTAGTTACCAGGGGATTTGGTTGATGCTCAACACTCAAGGGAAAGGCGAGACGGATGTACAATCAGACAGTTACTAGTACTATTGGAACTGGAACTCTTCACTTGCTGCTGAAGATAAGGGATGGAGCGCTTAGGGGAGTGTAACGAGTGCTATGATGTCAATACTTAATTCAACATTCAACGAATGTACATGCAAAACTCTGGCACAAAGCCAAAGTCCAAATGGAGGAACAATCAGGACTTTCCGCCAGAGTTTGCAGCCCATGAACAAAGAAGAAGAAGGCACTTCACAAAATCAAAGCACCAGGGTTTGAATTCTGCGGGAGAAGGTCCATTTTAAAAAGAAATTAACCGCTCTCAGGGTTTTCAGAATCCGTCATGTCGCGGAATGGACTTTAAAGGGGGCCATCCAATGTGAAGTACCCAAAGACTGCTGCCAAACTTCATTGTGGAGATGGCTCACCCCCCCCCCCCACAAAATCCTAATTCCCACGGAGACAGCAGATGTTGCACATCTCCATTTTCATGGTGATAGCAGATGACCCAAATCTCACTTTTACAGTGATGGCAGATACTGCAAAATCCTAATGTCTACAGTGTGGTAGATGTCACCAATCCCAATTTTTATGGCAATGCTATCTGTTGCAAATCCCGATTTCTATGGTGATAGTAAACAATCAGCAAGAATATGTTGCACACCCTTCCACAGAGCACTTACAATTCAATCCTAAAGTGTGTTTTGCTAGCTTACTGGGATAGCACCAAAGCCAGTTCATTAGGTTGTACAAGAGTCAACAAACCCTCCCTCCTCCTTTGGTGCTGCTTCTGAAAATTACAAAATCTGAATCTGGATGGCAAGCCAATAGGGTAGCTCCTAGATACCCTGTCATGGCTGGACCGATATTTTGTAGACCAATCGGCACTCCGTGGGTGATGTGGTCAACATCATGCCGACTGCTTTTACTTCCCATGACTTTACCAGGTACCCATTTAAGACTGGGTTGACCTGGGAGAAAAGTTATTTTTGACCAAAGTCAGGCTCCATCAGGATCTGAACCCACAACCTTCTGGTCTGCAGTCAAGCAAGTGACTGAAAGAAACTAAAAAAAAAAAAAAAAATACAGTACAAGAGAAACTAAAATATAAATAAAATAAAAAATAAAACATAAGAAATGTTACATGAAACACACACTAATGAAAGCATTACCTGCAAACAGATGCCCACATTGACTCTACAGCCAAAGCTGGTGCTGACTGCTCTAGGGCTAAGGCCGAGACTGGCAAACAGTTTAGTAAATGAGGTGGTCAACAGAATCCTGGGCCTCTCCTCGGCAATCACACAACAAGCTCTCACACAGGCCAGGTTGACTCCCTTGGTCTTTAACAGCAATAATAATGACTGATATTAAACACATAAATGTATCCAGTCAAGTATATTTGCTAATCTTCTTCTTCTTTGTTTACCGGCTGTGAGCTCTGGTGTAAAGTCCTGGTTGTTTCTCCATATGGTCTTTGGCTTTATGCCAGGGCCTCAGTTTTACTGGCTTATTGAGCAGATGCACTCAGACTTTAAATGAAGCTTCCATGAACTCTTTGAGACCCAGGAAACGCATCACGCGCTAATTTGTTTCAACCTAGCGACCCAATTGACCCAATCGATGCGTGACAAGTGAAGGTTTTTAATCTATCACTGGCTGGTTGTAAAAGGCGGACGGCTCAATTTCAACTTCCTTCCGAGTTATTTGTGTCTGATATCAGGCGCTCATTTAGAAACGTGGGTTGAGAGCCGAAAATATAGTATATTTGCAAGTTACTAAGTGTTTGTTTGAAAAAAAATATGGCTGCCAATCACTATTCTACGTGCATGCCAACATGATTTACGGCCTTAGAAGCCTAAAATTAAAATAAAGTACGCTTTTTAAAGATTTATCTGAGGTTTTATAGATAATGTTGCGAATTAGATGTATTTCAGTCATTTATAGAGTCAAACTTTGATGAGGAATATGTCTAATGTGTACCTCACGCGAAGGGTACAACGATAGCAAAGTCAGCTTGCACAAATAGAATAAACATGAGTGGAAAGACGATTTTCTCCAGTGTCAGTTCTAGTGCTTATTATTGCCCTTATTATTTAGGAACATAGCTACAATATTACAGGAAAATTGAGTGTTATATAAACTTCGGTTTGCATGAAGATGCTTATTGTTTTGGGAGTCAGTTTTCTTTACCAAATAATAGTGTTTTGTTATGATGCTTCAAAAGATTCTCTGGAACAAAATCTAATGTATAGATTTAGCTTATATTTTACTTATACAATACTAAGTGGTTCATATTTATTTGTGATTCATTTTGGATACATTTTAACCAGTTTTTCTTGAGTGCTATAGTGGTAAGTGGAAATTTTTAAATTTCATTTTACTAATTTTTGTAAACATACTAATTTTTACTATTTACTAATTTTTAATTACTAACGCAATTATTTGTTATAGCTCTATGCTAAAATTATTCCGCAACAATCCCTGGTCAATGTGATGTATAATATGTGTATGTTGCACGACAATTGAATTAGTATGGTCTGTTTTAATTAATGTCTTACACCTGTGAAATAAAAACATTGCATTACCACCTCTTGGGCCTTTGATGCTAAGTCCTCTGGGACTCAAAAGTTAAACTGACTCCTACGACATGCTTGTTAGAGAGGCAATGGGTCTATTCTTGTTTTTCCCATAATAGGGCTCCGGAACCCACAAGGGGAATTTGCGTATAATGCATTTCATTATATACACAAATATATCCAGTCATGTGTATTTGCTAATCTTTTTGATCCAACCAACAGCCATCTTTTTCTCCATTAAATATGTTGGCTATGCAAATTCAAAATAGATTATGAATGAATAAAGAACTGATACAACTGCCATACATGTTCCATCCCTTTCCTCTGTAGCCAGCGAACAGTTCCCATACCGATGTTGCCAGCTCTAACCTTATTAAAATAACCTCCCCCACACCAGGAAGGATCTAAGATTGCTCAGATCCTCTGCTCTTCTTTCTTCTTCTTTTGTCAAAATCTGCTTGTGCCGCTAGGCGTCGCAGTCTATCAGATGATCAGCAACCGAGCCAGGGCGCGCTCATATGCCGTGATGTTATGAAGTCTCAAGTTGTCCGTGACTCCTTCAATCCATATTCTTCTTGGTCTTTCCCTGCCTCTTGGTGTTTCGATTTTCATGTTGTATGCTCTTGATGCTGGCATCATTGGTTCCATTCTCATTAGGTGACCAAACCATTTCATTCTTTGCTTCTCAATAAATTTAAGGATGGGTATGGTTGCAATAGTTCTTGTAATCACATCGTTTCTCACTCTATCTCTTCTGGTTTTATTCGCAGCCATTCTCAAACATCTCATTTCACAGGTGATTAGTCTTCTCTCGTGTTCTTTTGTTAATGTCCAAGTCTGACATTGATAACCCAATGTCGGTATAATCCTCTGTTCACTCCCAGTTAAATCGACCTCTCCAGATATTAATGCTCTGTCTCTTCGGTTAAACTTGATCACAGAAAGCCTTCCCCACATCCGCTTTATCATAAAGTAGATCACAATCCAGAGGGGCGGCAGCAGCTAATCAATTAGATTTATGTAAGGGATAACGTTTAGCACAGAGATAACTATAAGTGGACTTTCTTCTTCCTAAATATCACACTAGAAGATCTCTGTAGACTGCACAGTCTAGGCAGTATGGAGGACCAAACACACATGCTAAACAACCCCACCAACCATAAAAAAAGGGCATGTTGTAAAAGGCGACTCATTAAGAATTTACCAAAATCAGTGCTGAGCTGAAAGGTGCTTAGCTGTAAACCACAACAAAACAAGCAGTCTTTTTTTTTTTTTTTTTAAATTTCTAAAAGTGGAGGCATTTTTATTGCGTACATTGTGTACGTAGTTTCTTAATGTTTTAAGCCCTTATCCTAAAAAAAAAAAAAAAAAATACAAAACTACAGATCTGATCCACTATAAGAAAATCATGGTTGAATATGCTATCCTTTTATTATTTTAGAAATTAAAAACATATATCACTGCAATAAGAAGAAAGGCTATACTATAAATAGGTTTCTCAGATTACTCTTCCTGCAGAAAGTTTTCAACTCAAAAGTAAGAGGTCACTATTCCCTCTCATCGACTGTAGAACATTAATATAATCAAACCAATGTACCTTCAGTGATGTGGTAGATGTTCCTAGACCACGAGTGCACAGTTCCATTACTCCATAGGAACAGAAGGTGTCCCGCACTTGAATATGAGAAACAATTAAAAACAGCATAAAGGCATGTATAACCTATTTTAAAATGTATACAGAAAGCCAAACAAGTTTTAAAATACCAAAATTATCATTAAAATCTCTCTCTCCCTAAATCCTGTTATGGCGAAAAATGGAGTATGTTGTGACAACAAGAAAACTGGGGGACAAAGAGGCAGAGGGAGACAAACAGAGAAGATAACAGGCAGTTTGGCATCATTACATGGAGGGTTTTTCTGTGTCAGAAATGATATTGTCTACTTCTGTGTTTGCCCTTAAAATGGCAGTTGGTACAATGTGTCATGGTTTGCCTACCATGAGGCTGTGATTCTGTATCTTTGGGTCCTAGACATCTGACTTCAGCAAATCCTGAGTCTGCTAAGAAGCAGTGGGTCTCTTCTCTCCAACATGGCACCCTTACCCGCACAAGACTGCAAGCTACACCTAGTTGGGGCAGCCGTCACAGTTGCCCTAATTATAACTTAAGTTAGTTAATCGGCCGATTATCCTCAATGCACATAGGACAAGTGCATAAGTGCTCGGATCCCATCTTCAGTATATCCTTCAGGGTGTGGCCACTGATAACACCAATAATTGTAACTTATCTGGAGGTTTAAAGAGTGGAGTATGTGAGATCTGCCTTGTTGCTCTGCTGTGTAGACTCAGTTTCAAATCTCAGGATGGCATGATAAACCTTAAGGTAGCAAACCTGAAGGGAACAAACCGACTGACTGAAAGATCCCAAAAGAGGGCTCCGATACCCACAAGGGGAGATAGAAATGCCGTGGCAAAGTAGTCAATTCACAAGTGCAATTTTTACGGAGATCCCTGTAGATCGTCACCGGAGCTACGGAGTATGTGCTCAGGGCGATACTCTCGGCAGGCGGCTAGCCATTCTGCAGAGAGAGACTGAGCTATATGGGATAAAAACACTGTGCAATAAAGTCCATCCTCTCGACTTTAACTTTTAACTTCAACAGAAATTCCAAAGTATAGAACACATAAGGCTGTGGAAAGACAAGCTACCAAGGTAATATGGCATGGACTATAAGAAGAAAAAAAAAAGAGCACCCCCTACTCAATCACACAATTCATAACATGACAAATACAGAATACCTTTAAACTGGCTGACTGCAGTAAGCCACACAGCTGGGTTTGTTTCTACTTCTGATGGAGGAATTAGGATGGAATGATGACCAGAATAGATGCTGTAAACAGAGAGAACATGTTACAATTACAGTCTTACAATGAATTTAAACCACAGATAATGAACTAAAACTCACAACTGGAAATATTATTACGTGCCACATATTCTTCTTCTCTTCAGCATCAGGTTTGTCAAGAGGCAGGGGGTGCGAACCTTGGTATGTGCTTAGTACTGGTTTCGTTACAACTTCTTTTCCGATATAGTCATTTATGATCCTATCTCTCCCGGTTACATTCATGATTTGCAGTAGACATTTAATTTCAGTTGCTTTGATTCTGTCACTCCTCTTTGGGTTCTTGGGTCTCATGTGGGTTCTCGGGCCTAATGGGGGTTCTCGGGCCCCACAGTTTGGGGAAAAAGAATAGACCCATTGCCTCCACAACAAGCATGTCATAACAATCGACTAATTGTGGGCTTCCTTCAAAACTGAAGTGCATCTCCCTAAGAGGCAAAGAGCCAACAATAAGTCAGATTTGTTAAACAGATGTGCATGCGACTCAAGTTCTGCAGCAAGACTAAAGTCTAGAGGTGAATGAACAACTAGAATTGTCTGCCCTAGTTTACAGCCAGTGAATGCGAAGAAGAAGAATTTTTACAACATCAAAATTAGTTAATCAATAATTCATTGCCACAAAATCAAAATTAGTTAATCAATAATTCATTACCACCACATCAAAATTAGTTAATCAATAATTCATTGCCACAACATGAAAATTAGTTAATAATCCATAATTCATCAAAATTAGTTTATAATCCAAAACTCAAACACTGAAATAAAGAAATTTAGATTTTCTTCTTCCTTCTTTTACTTGCCACTTGAGTACAGACCCTCAACCAACTCCTTTACGGACTTAGACTTGCTTATGAGGGGGAAGGGGGAAAAGTGGGAGGTAGATGTGTGTGTGCAGCGTAATGAGAGTCACAATGTGCGAGAGAGTGGGGTCATCCCATGTAATATTTTTCAGAGACAGCAAAAGGTACAATGTAGCCAACCTTCCTTGTGGAGATGCCCCACAATTATTTTCCTTCACGATTAGCTGGATTTTACAGTTCCAGCTGTCTAAAGGAAAAGTTCAAGTTGGCAGCTAGTCTAGCAGGGAAGCCTTGAATGCAGCTTCTGCAACATACTTTATTCTACACACTGTACCTTTTCTTTGGAGCTAACAAAACTGGCAGACAGAGGGATCACGTTGCATGGGCAACACATGGTCTCTACATTACTGCCCTGGCTTTGTGCTACAGAGTGGAGGCGAACTGAATCCCTGGCTTTGTGCTAGACAGTGGAGGAAGTTAATCTCTGGCTTTGTGCTAGACAGTGGAGGAACTGAATCCCTGGCTTTGTGCTAGACAGTGGAGGAAGTTAATCTCTGGCTTTGTGCTACAGAGTGGAGGAACTTAATCTCTGGCTTTGTGCTACAGAGTGGAGGCGAACTGAATCCCTGGCTTTGTGCTAGACAGTGGAGGAACTTAATCCATGGCTTTGTGCTAGACAGTGGAGGAAGTTAATCTCTGGCTTTGTGCTACAGAGTGGAGGCGAACTGAATCCCTGGCTTTGTGCTAGACAGTGGAGGAAGTTAATCTCTGGCTTTGTGCTACAGAGTGGAGGAACTTAATCCCTGACTTTGTGCTACAGAGTGGAGGTGAACTGAAATCCCTGGCTTTGTGCTAGACAGTGGAGGAACTTAATCCATGGCTTTGTGCTACAGAGTGAAGGAACTTAATCCCTGGCTTTGTGCTACAGAGTGGAGGAACTTAATCCCTGGCTTAGTGCTAGACAGTGGAGGAACTTAATCCCTGGCTTTGTGCTAGACAGTGGAGGAACCTAATCCTGGGCTTTGTGCAAGAGATTGGAGGAACTTAATCCATGGCTTTGTGTTACAGAGTGGAGGAACTTAATCCCTGGCTTTGTGCTACGGAGTGGAGGAACTTAATCCATTGCCTTGTGCTACAGAGTTAAAAAAAAGTAAAGAGTAAAGATCCCTTTCCACGCCTTTAGGCGTATCGGGCATATGGGAAAAGCGCCCATATTTTTACAGACCATCAGCACTCGGTGGGTAATGTGGTCAGCATTACGCCGGCTGTCTTTACTTTCCCAGGACTGCCCATCCTGGTACCCATTCTAGGCTGGGTCGAACTGCGACGCCCCATACCACGATAAAAAATCCACGCAGCCCGCAGTGGGTTTCAATCGCGGTACGATGGATTACGAGTTGGACTCGCAACGCCTTAGCCACGGGCGCCGCATGCTACAGAGTGGAAGAACTTAATCCCTGGCTTTGTGCTAGACAGTGGAGGAACTTAATCCCTGGCTTTGTGCTAGACAGTGGAGGAACTTAATCCCTGGCTTTGTGCTAGACAGTGGAGGAACTTAATCCCAGGCTTTGTGCTAGACAGTAGAGGAATTTAATCCTGGGCTTTGTGCTAGACAGTAGAGGAATTTAATCCTGGGCTTTGTGCTAGACAGTGGAGGAACTTAATCCATGGCTTTGTGCTAGACAGTGGAGGAATTTAATCCATGGCTTTGTGCTAGACAGTGGAGGAACTTAATCCATGGCTTTGTGCTAGACAGTGGAGGAATTTAATCCTGGGCTTTGTGCTAGACAGTGGAGGAACTTAATCCATGGCTTTGTGCTAGACAGTGGAGGAACTTAATCCTGGGCTTTGTGCTAGACAGTGGAGGAACTTAATCCATGGCTTTGTGCTAGACAGTGGAGGAACTTAATCCATGGCTTTGTGCTAGACAGTGGAGGAATTTAATCCTGGGCTTTGTGCGAGACAGTGGAGGAATTTAATCCTGGGCTTTGTGCTAGACAGTAAAGGAACTTAATCAATGGCTTTGTGCTAGACAGTGGAGGAACTTAATCCATGGCTTTGTGCTAGACAGTGGAGGAACTTAATCCATGGCTTTGTGCTAGACAGTGGAGAAACTTAATCCTGGCTTTGTGCTAGACAGTGGAGGAACTTAATCCATGGCTTTGTGCTAGACAGTGGAGGAACTTTATCCTGGGCTTTGTGCTAGACAGTGGAGGAACTTAATCCATGGCTTTGTGCTAGACAGTGGAGGAACTTAATCCATGGCTTTGTGCTAGACAGTGGAGGAACTTAATCCTGGGCTTTGTGCTAGACAGTGGAGGAACTTAATCCTGGGCTTTGTGCTAGACAGTGGAGGAACTTAATCCATGGCTTTGTGCTAGACACTGGAGAAACTTAATCCCGGGCTTTGTGCTAGACAGTGGAGGAATTTAAACATGGATTTTGTGCTAGAAAGTGGAGGAACTGAATCCCCTCTAAAACACAATGTAACACTATCACCCGGGAAGACAGAAAGGTGGCAACATGTGATACACCATCCTGTTAAAATGTATTAGTCAGACAACATTATATCCTATTAGTCACCTGCTCAGACACCAGAGGACAAATCCCAGGCCGCTGTAAGGATCCAAACACAAAGCCACATCCCTTGATGGGTAGAGCTCACACTGCAACTTTTGGGCCCTACACAGTGCTGTAGCTGATGCATGAGAAATCTGAGAAGAGAATAAGAGCAATTGATAATAAGTAGTTTAACGCTGAAATTAAAAACCACAACTATGCTGAATAACATAAGATTGTGCTGAAAAACTAACTGCTATAGAAGGTGTTTTATTATAAACTTACTAATGCTATGGTTAACCCTTTTGCTGCTATGGACGTCTTTTCCCGATTTCCCGTACGCTGCTACGCCCGTCTTTGGACGTTATGTTTTTTCTTGACCCCCAGTGCTATGGACGTCCTAAGCCGTTTTTGGACTTTTCTTACAGATTTCTGTTACCTCGTATTTTATTGGCTGAAGGGCAATATACATTAGCTTTATTTAGATTAAACTGACCCATTTACATATGATTAAAAGCACTGGCACATACTTTTAGGTGTGTTTAAAGCGTGTTTACTGCATTTTGCGTTATCCCGTTGCTTTGTTTACCGTGACAGCGTGGTCGGTGATCTGTGTATTTTGTGCCCTGATATATATTTGTGCTTTTGGATTATTCTACACTTGGTACAAAATGGCAAGAAAACTTGTTAAAGTTGATGAATTGATGGAGTTTCTGTCAAAAACTGATAGCGAAGATGACTTTGAAATGTGTACTACTGACAGTGAACAAGAAGATTTGACTAGGCCATCAGTATCGACTGCTGAAACCGGCGTGTATAAAAAAAGCTGTTTGCCTGTCCGACGTCCTCATCGTCAGAATCAGAGAGCAGCAACAATGAAGCGCCATCAAAACGGCAATAAATTGATCAGTTATCTTGATGAACCGATGATTTGAAACCAGTAGTGCATGATTTTGATGACTCCAGCTCTATCTGTATTTCTGCTACTGTAAATTCAAACAGTTAAGTCACTAAAATTTCTCGTCTTTCCCGATGGACAGACACAGATTCGGACGAACTAATTTTTTTTTCTGTCTGTCTGCTAATGCTTAGAACAAAGAAACTCAAAATAGAGTACTTGAGCAAAACTTCCGTAAAATAATGTCGAGGGACATATTTTTACTATTGTTGAGAATCTCAAACATTTCGTAGACAACAGTGCTCATGCAGGCGGCGATAGACTACAAACTTAGACACATTATTGTTAGTCTGCGCACATCATTCATTATGATCATTTACACAGCGCAATGTGTCAAGCAGTAGCATAGTGTAATTGGTATCACGTTCGCCTTAGAATCGTGTGTTCTACCCCTGAAGTGTTTTTTTAAAATTTTTTTATTAATTGTAAATTTTCCTTTGAGTTCCTGCTACTTTTCAGCAACGGACGACTTGAGTATTATTATGAATATTTTTTTTAAAAATTATTTTGGTATGTAATAACATGGTGACTACAAGTAAATATGATTAAAGTGGCAGCCGTGGTAGGTTCGTCAATCAAATTTTGGGAACAGTTCCTCCCATTAATCCCCCCCCCCCCCCCCCCCCCCCCCCCCCCCCCCCCCGAAGGGTGATAGCTCCGTTAGTCAAGTTTGTGGGGCACCATCGTGCCTCGGACTTGTCACCACTCGGACCAACCACACAACTCCCCAGGGTAAAATTTTTTAGGTGTACAAAACATAGCCCTCACCGCGGACGCATCTTTTGCGTTTAGAGGATAGAAAAGTATTGCGCACAGCAGAGACTTTTTTTTCACATTGCTTAGCACAGGGAGGACAACTATTTCCGGGAACGTAGCAGCGAAAGGGTTAAGGACCGAAGTCCAGATTTATATGTTAAAACTAATTGCACTTTATATGACATATTCTATAACACACTCATAACCTGGGTTTTACTGATCCCATTTAACGTATATCAGAATTAACGGATGAAATCTGCAGCAGTTAAATTCAGCATTTTTCAGTTTCAATAGTTAAAACCTGTGTCATGAGTAAGTTTCAATGATGAATGTTGAATAAAGAATCAACATCATCGCACTCAGGACACCCCCATAAGTACTCCATTTTCAGCAGCAAGCAAAGAGTTCCGGTTTCCACGGCACCAGAAGCTGCGTAACTATATATCAATCTCGCCTTTCCCTTGAGTGTTGAGCGCCGTTCGTAAGTTTCATCAGAGCGAAGCATTAAATGCTATACACTCCCAAGGCATAAAACTATATATCAGGTAACTCATACTATGACCCCTTGCCCATACCACTGAAGCTACAGAAAATTTGACGTGAAAAGGGCTTTAAAAACCATCTGGTTCACAGCAAAACTCCATTAAAAGCATTTTAAGTAAACTGTTTATACAAATATAGTCATATTTGGGCCTCTTAAATGTTGCGCAGGTGCAAAGAGAACCAATGACATTAAACATTTCCCAGAAACAGTCACTGCAGACATGCTGGTTTTGCGGCCTTTACGGAAATGTGGCAACAACAGAGATGCTGGATTTGAAGCTTTGATGGGGTGACAGGGTTGAACAACGTACACTGTCAATGATAAATTTTCAGAATATCAACACTAACCTGGTGACCTCTGCTAAAACTGGACATTTAAATAGCAAACTTTATCACTAAATTCATGTTGAAAGTGTCTTCACCTTGACTCCCGCCAACATGCCAGTCGTGGACACACTGAAGTCCAGATAGCAGATCATCTCTGGGGTTGGTGCTCGGTACACAGCCGCCAGCTTTCTCTTGGGCAGGTCGTCAGTATCCAGAAGGTTTGTCCAAGTCTTGGAGTCTATGACAGCTGAAGCTTCCTGGAAGAATTTCAGAAAAGCCAAATCTGAATACAAATTAACTTAAAAGCACATTCAAAATCAGCATGCGACTGGAACAAAATGAATCCTCATGCTGAGAGAGACTGAACACATATGGAGGTCTCCAGAGTGCAGTCATGTTCATGATTTTTTATCATTTATTTTTCTCTATTTCTGCCCTTTATCCCCCAATGGAGCGTAACCCCTCAATCAACTAATGCCCCCCCCCCCCCCTCTTCTGTAAATTGCTTTTTTTTTTTTTTTTAATTTATTGTGTTTTCTTCCAAAAACAAGGCACCTAATGAAAATATGCATCATGTGAACAAAATACCTGGCTGCCAATAACATAAAACTGTCACTCACCTTGGATTTTAACAGTTTGATTATTGCACTGTTGGTGAGAATGGCTACAGATTTGCTGACTTCAACAATCATGTGAACTGTGGGTAGAGTGGATGCCACGTTCTGTGGGTGGGGTGGCCTGATGGGCACTGGCACACAACCTAGAGATCAGACATAACACATGCATTAACATGAACCTGAAGAAAAAAAAATGTGTGCGGGTGCAGACATGACAGTAGAATGAGAAAGCCATGCTGTAGAATGACCAAACTTCATTCTCAAAGGACTATAAACTGGGCAGCAAAATAACATTCCTGCAAATAAACTGCAAATAAACTGAATATGCCACTGCAAATGTATTAACTGATGCCAAAAAATAATTACATAAAACTAGTTAACATTTACCAACTCTTTTAGTACCATGGAACTCATTGTACACAGATTTATAACTAATTTTTCCTCCTCTTGTATTGAAAGAGTTGATGTTATCTTTTTATATGAAGCGAAGTTCATGAAGTTCCTCATGAAAAAATGTATTTGCTTTCATTTTAATCGCACACATCAATATCTGTAATTGAAATATAAAATACAAATATCCAACACATTTAAATGTAATTGCCTGTTTTACTAGGATAAGTGCAAGTTACAACAATGTATGTCTTTTTGTTCCACAACATTGAACAGCTGACAGCAACCATTTAAACTCGAGTAACTGTCAATTGCTTGATGTCAGTAAAAAAAAAGTATGGGGAATATTAGTTTAAAAGGTGATGCACAATAGATGTTTACCCTGCTATTTATATTTTTGGGTTATTTTATGTAATACTATTAAAAGTGAATTCTTTGTAAACTAGGCATCCCCTGCATTGTTCCCGTGAGAAGTTGATTAGAGTATTGCCTGTCTTGACCTAGAAAATGGTTCAGACATGCTTCAAGCTCAACTCCCAGGCCACACAACTGTGTTAGTGTCAGAGATTCAACATTATCCCCTAACCCAGCCCACAAATCATTGAAGATCATAGATTGTAGGTCTGGTTAAAGGGATTGATGTAGTTACACAATTTAAGCTCAGCTTCATGATGTTTCCTAGGTGGTGGTGTTGTCTTCGTTTCCAATCTTCTGACACAAATCATGCAATGGTACATGCAAGTATTGATCGGTCATGGGCTTGACAAAACTAATGTGTGTTTTGTTTCTTGAAAGCTCCATGTGTGCCTTCGTGGGGAAAAAAATTACAGACACACTGCCTCCTTAACAAGCATTTTGTAATTTAGAGTCAACTAATTAGGAGTTTAATTCTAAGTCAGAGTGTATCAGCCCTGAGAGGTGAGGAACCAACAGTCTGTATACAAATAAGCCAGATTTGTAAAATGAATGTACATGCAAAACTTTAAAGTTCTGAAACAAGACCAAAGTCCAGAAGTGGACGAACAACCAAAAGTTTCAGCCAGAGTTTACATTTACAGCAAATGAACGCTAAAAAAAATGGACTTTCACAAAAACATAATACTCTTAACTTGAGTGTGTCCTGTCACTGATGCATGAGGCATATCATGCTAGACTCATATTTTTACCAACATTGTGTTATCACAAGTCAGCCACTGTGCTATCAAGGTTCGCAAGTTAAATGTACAAAACTTTTCAATCAGAATCTTCGGGTTTTGGGAAAACCAAGTGCTTATCGACAGAAACAGCCTAAATCAGCGCACCGAGTTTTATTTTTTAAATTCTTTCATACGAATAGCCATACTTTTACTTATGTTAGTGGGCCGTAAGAAGATTTTAATTAAAAAAAGGCACCGTAACTAAGCAAAGCCTGGGAAACACTGACCTAAATGAACCACACCCTGTTACATGTAATAAAAAATGAACTTACCAACATACAAGCACCCGTAGAATGCAGAGATTAACTCAACACCTGGAACAAACAAGTCAACATCAAGTCAAATCAATGACATTAGCAAATATTGTTAATTATTGTGCTCTCAAAGTCTAAATCTACTGCTTATTTAATACCTGTCTAAACAATAATTATGTTGTCAGTATCTGGCTGCATGGATTTTTATCATGGTATGGAGCGTTGCAGGTCGACCGAGCCTAAAATGGGTACCAGTACGGCTGGCGTAATGCTGACCACATTACCCACCTAATGCCGATTTGTCTGTAAAAATATGGGATGCTCTTTCCATATGCCCGAAGCATCTAAGATGTGTCTAAGACGTGAAAAGAGATTTTCACTTTTTTTTTTAAAAACTTTGTTGTCTGTATCAATTATGCATGATCTGTTCCTTGGAACAGGTACATGATCAACCCTACAAGGTTAAAATGGGGTGATTAAAAAGGTATTTCCCTCATCTCTGGTGTAGGATGAGGAGAATACTCTATTAACTGTCCTAATTATAACATTTATAAGATTGAACTTCATTAACTGATATGAGAAAGAGGGCATTTTACAGTTAACAATAGATGCTAACTTTATAAACATTATTAAAGTTACCACACATGTTAACATAAACACATTCTGTTAACTTTGAATGATCATGGGTGTTTTCATATATTTTATGAAGGACTGATGGCTTATATATATTTCAAGAAGGACTGATGGCTCACTGCAAATATTCATATTCATTACACATATATTCTTATTTCTGCCTTTCAACTCTCCCTCCATAAGGCACACATCCTCGACCAACTTATACCAAGCCTTTTTTAGTCTTGTCCCATGATTAATTTAATTTTTACAGCTTAATTTTTCAACAGAACAAGCAAGCCAGTCCCATCCTTAGTTGCCTCTTAGGACATGGTAAGTCAGTTCTGCAATTCTTGGCTTTTCTTATGGGTCCTGCTAACAGATAGGTGACATATATTTCCCCGTCAAATGTTTTGCATATCCAAATATAAAGTTATTTGCATTATCTTCACAGCATTCCAGACACATCCACAGGTGCTCAGATTCCCCTCTCAACATATTCATCAGCGTCGCGCAGTTAATAGTGCCAGTCCTATGCTGGTTGACAAGACTTTGTGTGCGTCCGGCCTGCTTCTCATGCTTGGCTGTGCTGATCTTTACACACAATTCTCGTATTCTTAGCAGTGATGTGGACTCATTGCTTCCACAAAAAACTTTTATGTCACATGGTTGATTAAACTCTTGGAGCTCAAGTTTTCAACAGAATGAGCAAGCCAGTCCCATGTCAGTCTTGCCTAGTTCCCTCTTACGACACAGTAAGTCAGTTCTAGAATTCTTGGCTTCCCTTATGGGTCCTTGTAACAGACAGGTGACACATATTTTCCCCAAAACGTTTTGCATTATCTAAATATAATTTTTATTAGGGCTGTACCGAATATTCGCTTCGTATTCGCTTCGGGGCTGAATAGTGGACCCAATAACTATTCGGTATTCGGCCGAATAGTTGCGATCGGGCCGAATACGAATAGTGGTTACCTCACAACCATTTCTGGACTGGTGGAAAAAAAACATCAAGACTTCCCACCTTGGTTTATACTGTAAAGCGCTATCTTTGTGCACCACCTACGAGCATACCAAGTGCCCCTTTATTTCCATCTTGCATGTGTTGCGAGTATAGTGTTTTTAGGTGTGTTGCTGTAGAAACAAAATGCAACACTTAAAAATGTGAGAGGGGCAGAAAAGCAAGTGTTCTAGTGTTGTCGGCTTGATTTCTTTGAGTGGAGTGTCCTCTTCGTTGATTCTTTGAAGTAACGGGAGTTCGTCATCATTTATGGGTGTCGTATCTGTTCTTTCGTCGTCTCATGGAAATGGCAGTGGCTGAATGTTTTGATCGACGTTCGGTTTCTTGATTGTCTTTGTTGTTTGATCTTCTGGCGTTGGCTGCCCGGCGTCTATTTCGTGAGCTCGCGGGGGGCTGGGCGACTTGTAAGGACGGCATTGTTTTCTTCGTCAGCGTTATTTTTGTTTTTGATGTTTCGCCTTGCGGGTTTTCATTTTGACTCTCTGTATTTGTCGTATTTTCCTGTTTAGTACAGCTGGAAATACCTTCAGTGAGACAAAAAGCTGGCCTAATGCTGACAACATGGAATGAAGGTTTTTCATGGAGGTGTGTCAGCACATGAACTAATACGTGCTGCAGGAGATCGCAGATTGTGGCGAGGCATAATCACCTATGTCAGCCGGCAAAGCACATGATGATGATGATACACTATTCGTATTCGGCCGAATAGTTGGTCCAGCTATTTGTATTCGGCCGAATAGTGAAAATCACTATTCGGTACAGCCCTAATTTTTATGCCAGTAGTGCCTGCCTCAAACATATGATTCCTGGCGCAGCTTTACTTCCCAGGACATTACCTGGTACTCGCTGTGTCGACCTGGTAAACAAGGTCAATTTTGTTTTCAAAATTAAAAAAAAAATACTGCTGAATGTGTATTTAAACCCCAGACTTTCAGACTGGTAGGCAAACAATAACATCCAGATACACCCTCTTGTGAATGCCTGCGAATAATCTAATACTGCACTGTTCAATATTACACCTTTATTGGTGGACTGTTGGGAGGGTGCTTATATGTGTAGGATTTATTTTATCTATTTTTCTGAAGGATGGGAGAGTTTACCTGGGGGAAACACCAGAGCCACATGATCGCCAGTGTTGAGTCTGCCTTTCTCCATCAACAAACAGCCAATCTTCTCTGCTCTCTTGTGAAGCTGTGAGCAGCTGTAGGTAACTGCAATCTGATTCTAAAACGATAAATAATATTACACATATTAATTACAATATTATCAACATATCAAGATATTGCCATCTGATGCTGTAAGGTAAAGCAAGCATGGGGACTGCTGGTACCCCCCTTCCCCCCACCTTTTCCATTTTTTTTTAATACAGCATAAGACAGCCCCGGTCAGCACAATTAGAATGTTTTGCAATGCCATACCAAACAAGGCATACACCAAAACAGGAGAGCGACACAGATCAGCAGGAAGACCAAGAATAATATGGAAAGCTATCATCTGAGTAATGCTACAACACTACAATATACCTGTAGTCAAGGTAACCAGAAGAGCAAGAAGTAGAACCTTGACAGATAACAAAATGATAAAAGTGGAAGATAAGAAGATGCAGAACATTATTTTCTACTTGTAACAAAAAATCATGGTTTTTTACACTTTGCTGACCAACTTCGACGATCGTCAAATTTCCGGACATATCCCCTGGTGACCAACTTTGACGATCGTCGAATTCCTGACATGCAAGTCTGCCAACAGACATCGCTACCAATAGCTCTTTAACTGAGCTGCATCTGGGTGTTTTTATTATTCCAAGATGGCTGCATCTATGATCGATACCGCTTTGAGCTGTTTCTAGCGTGTTTTAAGTGAAATTTTGACAATTTGTGTTACCAGTGCATATTCAGCCTTTTTTGTCATGTCTGATGACGAAAACCAGACCAATAGTATTGATTCGGAATTTGCCAGCGATTATAGCACTGAAAAGATAATTCCGGGATAAGTAGAGATTTACCTGAGAATGTTATTGTCATAAAGCAACTGAAAGTAGCGACAACGATGACAGACTTGATGACGGAGTTGATGTAGATGCATCTGAAGAAAGACATAGGCGTGGCACAAAAGACCAGAACATTTCTTTAGCTGAAAATGCTGTTTGTAAATGGAGAAAGACTGCGCAAAATGAACCTGTTAAGCTTGACAATCATCCTCCATTTGAAGAACAACAAGATGCCATGTCAGACTCAACTGGGGGTGTGCCGATATGATTATTAGAAGAAAAAGCAACTGAAACTGAATAAGGCAGATGCTCTTGTTTTATGACACAAAAGATAAAGGCATTTTGGCCATTACCTTGCGTGACACTAAGAAAGTTCACCAATGATATTATGGAAAAGACAGTTAGCAGAAGTGTAATTCTTGAGGGCAGAATAATAAATACATCAGTAGGGGGGTGTCGATCACTTTGGCCAGCTGGGTAGAAACTACCCCTACCCACCTAGATTCTATAAATGGTACCTGCCATTATGTTATTTATTTATTTTTATTTGACGCTGCTCTGGTCAGTAAGCATATAAGCTACAACATTGTCTATGTGTAAAAGATCACAGCAAAGAGGTTCAGGCAGGATGTCAGTTTTGCTCTTATTGGACCTGCTGTTCTTTGGCACAATGTAACACCTTCAAAATCCCACGTCACAGCATAACGACTTACTGAGCACCATAAAAAAAATGTGAAAGCCAAGGTACAAACCAGACTGTACAGTGTGTAAGGTTGCAGGTAAAAGAAGCTAAACTTCCATATACTGCCCATATTGCAAGACATCTCTATGCTTGACACCCTGTTTCACGCTATACCACACATTTGAGGATTATCAACATTCTTTACAAAGACAGGGCTACTGCAACAGCTTAAATTCCAGTTAATGAAGGAAACTTCAACTATAGGTGCTTTTATAATCAGGCATTTACAAATGCTCATTGTAACGTGACAAACACAATAAACGGAAATTCGCTCCTATTTAGCTAATTTTGTTTATCGCCAACCATTTTATCACACTGACATTAAACAAATTCAACTGGAAAAAGATGATGGTTTTAAAAAAGCTCCTGAAATTTCTATAAATAGCCAAACAAATTCAAGATGGCCACTATGATCATGTGACATTTGCATAATACATTTTTTTTTACGTGTAGCAATAATTTATAATGGTGCTCTGAAGGTTTCAAAACCAAACGTTCATTGATTTTTTTTAAATGAATTTTAGTAGAAAAGTAGTCATTTTGACAAAAATCTTCAAATACTCTTGGTAATGGGAGACAGTAATGCCCCAGATTGCTGGTCAGCAAAGTGTTAAAAATGAAACACCTCTCAAATATATATCTCCCCCCTTTTTCATCTTCCCTCTTCTATCCTAGTAAATAAAAAGGGATAATAAAAATTGAAAAAGTGCAGTCTGAATTAAATATTCTCAAGGATAGGATCAATATCACCCTTCTTCTAGTGCAACTAAAATCACACACACAAGTATAACAATGTCTGAGCATACCTTAGAGTTGAGCATGGTGTACAGAATGTGATCAGGTGTTGTCAGTGACCTCCAGCGCATGATTTCTGTCAGGAACTGATGCTGAAATAATGTTTCCACATTGCAGTCACATAAAATGCTGGTTCTAACATACAATTTTTAAAATGAAATATATTGTCTAGGCCAAACAATTTAGCAACAAGTAAAGAACTTTTTAACTACTGTAGCAAATTAGATGAATGTTGTTAGACTCATATTTTGTTACATAGGTCAGCTGGCATTCAGCAGGTTATGTGGTCAATACCACGCCAGCCGCCTTGACTTCCCAGGACATCACCTGGTATCCATTTAAGGCTGGGATGACTTGGAAGCTTAGGTCAATTCTAACAGAAAAAACCTGGCTCAATGCAGACTAGAACTTTAGACCGAGTCATATTTTGTTTTGTAATACAGACCAGCTGGCATTCAGCGAGTTATGTGGTCACTATCACTCCAGTCACGTTACTTCCTAACACACTGCTTGGTGTCCATTTAACGCTATGGAAACGGAGCCTTTTTGGAGTTTCGGTGTCAAGAAGACGGAGCCTTTAGGAGGGGATTCTCATAGTTTATACACAAAAAATTATACAAAATAAAGCGTTTAATTAACATTTACAAAAATATAAATATTCATATAGGAAATTGAATGAACTAACAGAATAGTTATGAATCAAATTGAAATCTTAACATTTATTCAAATTAACTATTCTGATTTGCATAATTTATGCAAGTAATTTGTTTTAAACTTGGGAACAAACATAACTAACCTAAAAATGTGGGAGAATTTTTTTATGCATGAAGCTTGAATAAGTCCTAACACCTGTATTTTGGGAATTAGGGCCCTTGGATGCCCTTCAGACACATCTGGCACATGGTTCTACTCATTTTCCTGCCTCTAGCTATGTTTCAGTTGCTGTGGGCATATAGGGCTAGACCTATATTTTATAGATCAATCTGGGTGGGTGATGTGATGAACATCACGCCAGCCATTTTTACTTCTTAGGACTGCACCTACTACCCGCTTAATTCTGGGTTGACTTGCCAGCCAAAGTAATTTTTTAAGAACGCCCGGTTCTGCCAGGATCCGAACCCATGACCTTCTGATCTGCAGGCAAGCGTCTAGCCGTTACACGACAGTTGACTCCCAAAATCTATTGCAGCCAACCTTTTTTGTGGAGACAGCAGCTGACTGATTTTCAAATACCTAATACCTTGCTGGTTAAGAGCAGACAGGTTAAGAGCTCAGCAACTGAGACAAAGCCTGTTAAACACAGGCAATTGCAGCGGTGGTCCTGAAGTTTTATACTCTTACTGTAGAAGACTTCTCAACTTGAGTGGGTCTTGCTGGCCATACTTGCTGTGGGGATATGTTTCCCAAGTCTCCACACAGCCAAATCTTGTGCAAAAATAGAATCAATCAATCAGATGCTGTCTCCACAATGAAGCTTGGCTGCAATAGTTGGATGCGTAAATTACGCACTTGACACCCTTTCCTTATTATGTTCAAGTAATTCTTAAATCAGCAGGCTTTTGTTTGTTGACTAAATGGTTAAATACCTTTCTGCTGGAATCAGCATCTTCTTCTGAGAGTCCAAGATCACGGCCTTGGGCCCAGGCCATCCTAGCCCCCTGGACAATGTTTCCGACATGAACTGCTGAAGGTTTGACATCTGAAGGAGAGAAATATTTGACAACAGTACTAATTTGGTGGACTTTCATAGCTTTCCTATGACATAAAACATTGCAGTAATGTTAGAAATGAATGATAAACTTTCATGAAATTAATGCAAGCCTGACTTTATGACACTCGGATCACACAAGGATGCCTGGCCTGCTGAAAGTTTGACTCTAAATGAGTGACATGTTTCTCCTTCTTGCTAATATGCGAAATGTGTTATCTTCTTTGTGCTCACCAGATGTGAACTCCGGCACAAAGTTCTGGATGTTTATCTGAGCTTGGACTTTGATCTTGTTCCAGAACTTAAGCATTGTGTGCACATCCATTTTACAAATCTGGTTTATCTGTATGCAGACTGTTGGTTCCTAGCCTCTTTGGCAGCTGCACTCCAACTCTGAAGGCAACACCACTGATTAGTCGCCTCCTATGACATGCTTGTTAGGGGGTTAGTAGGTCTATTCTTTGTTCTATAAAACAGAACCCCAGAATCAGGACAAGAAAAATTAGAGTATATAATGTGGACTTTAAAAAGATTTCTGTATAACTGAACCAAACATCTGCAATAATAATATAAATGAATTATATACTTTCGTAACATGTACAACTTTATTCAAATGTCAAGAAAACAGAAACAATGTTTCTGTTTTTAAAATGTTTTTAAAATAAAACAGAAACAAAAACAATCTATCAAAGATAGATAATAACGTACAAAATGTGATACAGCAATAGAAGGGAAAGTGCTTAACCAAGTCAATCAATTCAAGTATGTGGGAACATTTATAACATCAGATGGAAGATGCATGACAGAAATTAAGAGCAAAGTTGGCCAACATTTCAGAAGATTAAAAGCATCTTATGTAATAAATCACTCTCACTAAACATCAGAAAACGAGTACCAAAATGTTATATCGAGCCTGCTCTCTGTTGTATGGCAGTAAATCTTGGAATATGAGCAAACAAATTAGGAAGAGTTTGGAGGCAAATGAGATGTGGTTCTTGAGAAGAGTGCTGTGAATATTTTGGACTGCCAGAATAACTAACAATGATTGCCTAGAAATGGCTAATGAAGGTAGAAGATTCTAAACAACAATGAGGAGATAAAGTTCTATGGTCATGTGATGAGAAAAGGATCACTGGAAAATATTGTGACCACTGGAAAGATCACTGGTAGAAGTCCCAGGCAGACTAAGGAAAATGATGCTGACTTAAGACAGTGGCATGGGGGAATATCATCAGAGGAATTGATCCAGAAAACCAAAGACCGAGATCTGTGGAGATTACTGAATGACTGCGCCAGCTGGCAAGGCACTTGATGATTATGATGACATGCGAGTGACCAGACAGAAGAAAAGACATATTTCATGAGAATAGCAACAATCAAATACACAGCTTATGAACAGATTATAGAAATGAAAGAGTTGCAGAAGGGAAAAAAAATGAAGCAAGTGAAATATTCTGGCCATTTTAAAATAACACATAATTTAAAAAAAAAACATACTGGAAGAAGTTATGGGTAAGCAAAGCAAGTGGCACACATTGATACAAGTGGAAGGATTACATTAAAAGATGGACAAGCAGCATGTTGAAAGAGTAAACCGAGGGCTAAAGACATGTAATGTAGGAGATCTACTGCAGCCACCCTTCACTGTTGAGACGGCACCTGACTGACTCATTGACCCCGATTTTATGACACTCAGAACACACACAAAATACCTGGGTGAACCTCCCTTGGTTTGGGCAAGTTGGTGACACAGGTGTGTGGGCACATCAACACATTGGCAGGGTGCAGGGATCCTTCCAGGAACTTTTTCTTGGTATCATGCAGATGGATGCCTCCCAGGGGTGTCTGATCAAATAACAGATTTTTATATGGTCATTTCCCAGGACAGAAACAATATGTATGTTCAGAAATATAACAGCAATATAAATAATGGCTCACAGAATGTTTATCTCACAGACATGTGTATATGTGAAGAAATGTACACAGGCTGAAGGATTGTGGGCATCAAACACAAACACTGTCATCTGTATACATAAAGGATTGTGCACAGTGAATAAAAACATGGGCAGGGATATAAAGGATTGTGCATAGTAAACATAAACACTGACATATGAAGGACAGTGCACATCAGACATAATCTTCCACATGTGTATAGATAATGATGGTGCATATTAAACATAAGCATGGACACTGAAGTGTCATGGACACTGCATTATGGATATAAACAGGGATGTGTATCTACATAAAGGACTGTGCACATTAAACACACAAGACAGAAGGATTGTGGTCAATCAACATGTATGACAGACTGTGCACATTAAACAAACATACGTACATATGAAGGATTGTGACCATTCAACACACATGAAGGATTGTGACCATTCAACACACATGAAGGATTGTGACCATTCAACACACATGAAGGATTGTGGCCATTCAACACAAAAATGGACATACCATGAAGGATTAGGTAAATGATTCTTTTTCACAAACACAAGGGAGTAAGTAAAGGACCCTTTTCCACATAATCAGGCATATTGGGTATATAGGGCTAGACCTATACATTATAGATCAAACAGCACTTGGTGGGTGATGTGGTCAGTAGGTACTTCAGTCAAATTTTTAAAATGCCCTCTACACCAATAAAACCAGCACAGTTAGATAGCTGTAAACAATCTCTTTCCAATGGTACCTCATTTAGGCTTGTATGTCATTTCTGAGCTGAGATATGTAGGTTTTTGTGGAGATGAGATGTAAGAAACAGCCGCTAAAACTTGCGTCCCAGAAACAAGAAGTTTTTCACTGCGCAACCTACTGCGCAGTTCTGTATCGGCTTTGTTGACATTGGACTGTCATTGGACAAGATGGCAGGTAGTGAGACTCAGCTCACTCAGCCGCATGCGATTGCCTAAAAAATGTCACTGTAAATCTAAACAGCCAGAGTCGGGAAAAAAAATTTAATATGCAAATGTAAAATTGGACGGAGAATTCAATTGTAACTAGCATTACCACAACTGGTAATGTTTAAGCCTAAAGCCAACCTCGAATTTACCGCTATTTTCAATCAAACTGATAGACTAACAGAAAAACAGAGAATGTCCGGCTGTCGTAGACATGCGCTGTTAATCGGGTTTCTTCCCGCCGTTTTCAGCTATTTAGAGTGGGTGAAAATCACACCAATGGCAAAATTTCATGAGAGATTAGGACCCATCCCGAAACCCCAGCCGACATTTCCGAAACAAGTTTTAAACGGTTTCTATGGTAACGGAAATTATCGAAAAGATAGCAAATTTCCGAAACTGTAGTCGCTATGGTCAGCAGCATGCTAGCTGCCTTTACTTCGCATAGACTTTTAACATGAAGGATTGCCTATTAAAATATAAACATGAACAATATGAATGTCTGTACTTGAAAAATTAACTTGCTTGCCCGTTACCTTTGGGAGATAATTGGGTGGTACCAGAGCCAGGCAGTAGACTCCAACTTGATGAATGCTGTCAACAGCTTGCAACACTCTGCTCATCCACTGAAAACTCTATGGGACACATAAAAAGCAGTTTAACATATGTGAACATTCACACAGCTTTTCTAGAATGTATATGGTATGCTGGAGGGATTTCCCCCCCAAAACCCATAAATAAACAAAAGATTTATAAACAAAAAATTTACACAGGTTATTAAAAATGCTTTTTAAATTTATTTATGTATATTTTCCAAATTAGAAAAGAGGAAGAAAAAAAAAGGGGGGAGGGGGAAGAATGGGCAATAGTAGAATAGTAATCAATAAACACAAATACAGTGAAGAATTAACAGGATTCTACTCCTTTGGGTCTAAAAACAAATGTATCGGAGACTCTTATCTCGACTCTGTGACCTGGTTGGAATTTTCAACACTAACACTTATACACAGAAATGACTATGTCATAACGGCTTTAGAACTGGTATTTTACTCAAAAGGAAATGCCCTAAATGCTATGTCTAGTAAATATATTGCTATCATAACTTGCTAAATGCTGCACAGGTGTAAACACAACCAAAGGCGTTGACTAGGCGTCTACAGGAAATTCTAGATTTGCAGCTTCCCTGGGTGAAAGTGTTAAAGTAAATGGGCTTTTTCTGTCATTGTGAGTTTGCACTATGTAATCCTATCCATCAGGAAAGACGGAGAGTTGCAACAAAAAATATATGCATACATGACCATATTAAAAGTCATAACACATATGAAACCATACTTGATGAAAAGTTAGAGACAAGCAAGAAAAAGTGTTCATGCATAAGATGCTGCGTTAAGATGTAGTTATTGAATACCATATTTGGGATAATTGCAAAGTATGGAGCTGAACAGTCAACCATTGTCAGAGAAATTCGCAAGTGACTAGGCAGAGAGACAGGTGTCATTAGTGAAGTGAAATGTGCCCAACGGATAATGAATACTAAAGAGCTGTTGTGCTAGATCAGCCTCAGATGGTTTCTGTCTCATCTGCTCTGTACGCTCCTAAACAGTTGCAATAACCCGAAGCTGAGTTATTAAATTTGTCAAAAAATTTAATCTTATAAATGGAATAAGAATGACCTAACTCTCCCGACCCGTGCAGTTGCATACTATACATTCAGACAGCTGAACGAAAATTACTTTAATGGCAGTTTGTAACAGACATGATGATAATGATAGTTAAATGTTTCTTACTTTCTTTTGTCCATATTCTGCTTTGTGCTGCTAGGTGTCACAGATTAAAAGATGATTGGTATCCAAGCTACGGCAAGCTCGGTTGCTTTATATGCTGTGACGTCTCAAGGTATCAGTGACTCCTTCAGTTGACCTTCTTCTTGGTCATCCCTACTTCTTGTTTCTACTTTCATAGTGTACGCTTTCACTGCTGGCATCATTGGATTCAATCTCATTAAATGGCCAAACCAATTCAAACTTTGTTTTTCAATGAATTTAATTATGGGTGTTGTTTTAATAGTTCTTGTAATTTCTTTGTTTCTTGTATGATCTCTTCTATTTTTGTTCACGGCCTTTCTCAAACATCTCATTTTGCAAGTGGTTAGTTTTCTTTTGTGTCCTTTAGTCAATGACCCACTTTGACACTGACAGCACAAGGTTGGTATAAAGACTGCATTTATAATCTGCCTATTTGTTTTTACTGTTATAGGCCGGTGTTTCAATATTGGGATCAACTTATATAAGACATTGTTGCTTGTTGAATTCTTGTTTTAATCTCTTTGTCTATCCCTGTCATCATTTGTAGAGATGCTCCTTAAGTATTTAAAGTGGTGAACTTGCAAGAAACTCTTATTTTTATAAAGTGTTTGGTGTTCTTTTGTTACACACACTGCATCTGCTTTTTCAATGTTTATTTCTACATTATGTTTCAAGCAGATGTGGTGTTGTTGGATTTATTGTTTCAATATTTAATGAGCAAAACAAGAATTCAGGTACTAACCTCTTCCTCTGTACAATCTGGCCTTTGTTCTGCAATTATTACGATTCTTTCATCCTTAAGCACTTTGATAGAAAATACAGCAATCCTGGAACACAGACCATCAGTACGTATGAGTCAACAGAATATCCTAAATAAATATGTAAACAAATGAGACAAATGTAAAACAGAGGCAAAATGAGATACTTGATACCAAGGTCATGTCTACATAAACCTCATGAATGAACGGGCTGGTTCTGAACCACTGTGTGGTGAAATAAAGTAAAAGAAGCTAGACGTTGTCACTGCAATCTCAGTGCAAGTGAACAATGCAGAAGTGTAAACAAATCATTAATGCATGGAGAAATGGTACAGCTAGGATTGACCAAAGGATCTTGCTCACATTTTACAGTCAGGGAAAAGGTAAAACGGCCATACAATCCAAACTGCTACTGGTACCATTGCAAAAGGCAATGACAAGAAAACAAGAAATAGATTTATCAGTGAAGCAAATTTTTTTTTCAAAGTAAAAATGCAAACAGTACTGCTGCTATGACAACAGCTGATGCAATAAGCGCCATTACAAATGTAACTGTATTTGAGTCGAGTTACGGGTCCACAAAGTAAAGACTGACTGCCTCCCTGACCGTTATGTCGTCGTAGAAGGAAACTAATTAGCGTATTTTTCTCCCAAAATGGAAGCCCAACTGCCTGAAAGGTGAGGAAACCAACAGTCTACATATGAGTAAGCCAGATCTATTTAAAAAAAAAAAAAACAAGTTCAAAAGCTTACAGCTGAGAGTAAGTAAAGCTCCAACCTCCTTAATGGGAATAAAATACAATTTTCAGAAAGCACTTAAAGTATGTTTCTAGACCAATAGGTTCACAGATCAATCACCACAAACAGAGTAATGAGGGACTCTAAAGACAGCTGCAGGTGATTTGTAGTAGACAATTTTGTGTTGAATTACATATGAGCATTGTTCTAGTCAAGGAGATGCCGTGGTACAGCAGCCAGATGCTCGTCTGTGGATCAGAAGGCCATGGGTTCAGATCCTGATGGAGCCAGATTTTTAAGGGAGCCGCTGTGGTCTAGAGGCTAGATGCTCGCCTACGGATCAGAAGGTTGTGGGTTCGGGTCCTGACAGGGGCCGGATTTTTCTCAAAAATGACCTTGGCTCCCAGGTTGATCCAGCCATGAGTACCAGATAAAGTCCTGGGAAGTAAAGGTGGCTGGCATGATGCTGACTACATCACCCACCAAATGTCATTTGGTCTATAAAATATAAGTCTAGCCCTATATGCCCAATAAGCCTGAAGGCGTGGAAAAGGGTCCTTTACTTTACTGTTCTAGTCAGAAAGCAATGGTAGATTTATGAACATCAAATTGCCCATTAAAACTACTCAATAGCAAATACATGCTGGGCATGGCCCACAACCTCCTGATGAGGACATATAAGTAGGTTAACTTTTGAACTCTATCACCGCCTTGCTTACCTGCCCCTGTAGATGAACTTCATAGGCTCCACAGCCAGGACAGTGGCAATGATGTCATCTGTGTTGTGTCTTCTATTGGAAATCTGCATCAAGCCTTCCTTACTGCCACACACAAACACTAATCCACCCTAACCAGCAAAATAAAAATATAACTATCATTAACACATATTAAGCAACCACATAAGTTATCATGATCACTGCCATGTGTTGTGCTGATAAGCTCATGCGGCATTATTTTACTATCACAGAACGCATTTAGCCAACCCTCCTTAGTCACCTCTTATGACATGCATGAAAGGTTAGAGTGTTACTGTTCACTTCTTATCTTACAGACCCCAGACATAGAGGGGGAAGAGAGAGACAGACATAGAGAGAGAGAGACAGAGACATAGAGAGATGGGGAGAGAGACACATACATAGAGAGTCAGACATTGAGAGAGAGAGAAAGAGACAGACAGACAGACAGACAGACAGACAGACAGACAGACAGACAGACAGACAGAGAGGGACACAGAAAGTTAAAAAAAACTGTAATCAATATTTTTTTTAACTAACTCTTTCTTCTGTTGTTTATCTTTTAATTAAATATCTTTGGTTAAATTCTGCAGAACGCGCTAAGCCAACCCTCCTTAGTCACCTCATATGACATGCATAAAAAGTTACAGTTCACTTCTTCCCTTATTCACACCTGACTAGGGGAATGCTGTTTGGTTTGACCCCAACCTCTTCCATGGTGAGACCATTATACCACCAACAAAAAGTTTTGGGAAGGGCCTCTTTCTAAACTCCCCAAGGCAGGAAAAAATGTCTAGGATATTGCTTATTAAGATGCAGATACTGTAGCTAATGAATTAAATAATCAATTAATCTGCATCATCATTCATCATCATGTGCCCTCCACATGCGTCTCCACAAATCACGCTCTCTGGTTGCCTGGAACAGCTCTCTTGATGATATTCCTCCATGCCATCATTTTAGCCCATCCAGCATCATCTCTCTTGGTCTGCCTCTACTCCTTTTTCCACTGATCTTTCCAGTTGTCACGATGTTCTCCAATGTCTCTCTTCTAATCTGCATAGAAAAGAGAAAATTGAACACAAGCAACAAACTTACAGGGCCAAGAAAACCAATGAGTCCAGTGCGAACATAAGTCTTGTCGGTCAGGATTTTGCCATCTTCCTGAATGGGCTGAACCTGCAAGCAAATGGCCAGACACACTAACACAATGTTCAATAAAACTTAAAGGCAATTCATTGCTCACTGCAACATTTCTGATAAAGTTAGGCAATTAATTGCTTACTATAATATTTCTGTTACAGAAAAAAGAAATTGCTTGCTAAAACGTTTCAGGTACAGACAACATAACCAGATTAACTGCTCGCTACAACATTTCTAATATAGACAACTTAAGGTAACTGCTCGTTACAATATTTCTAATATATCTGAACAAAGAAGACACAAACAATAGATTGCATAATTTACTGCCTGGAATATTTCAACAATAGACTGCACAATTTATTGCCTGTCATATTTTGCTGTATATTGTCAGGTGAATACTACAGTTGAAAATTAAATAAAAAAAAAAAAGCAAATAAGCGACTCCTTTACAACTGAAGTAGAGATTCAAACATAGAGAAAATCAACAGACTCTGTTGCTTTGATTTCTGATACAGACTTAAGGCTTGCTAAAACATTGCTGATACAGACAACTTAAGGCAATTAATTACTCACTACAATATTGCTGATATAGAAAACTTAAGACAACTACCAACTGCTCACTTCAACACTGCTGATATATACAATGTCTTTCAAACAGAAGAAAGAACTGTTCAATGTGTGAACTAATTTATGAATGCATAAGACATATTAACAAGCAATGTGTAGGATGAAATACATGCCATCTAGATTCTTCTGCCCTTCTTCAACAGAGCATTAGCCCTCAACCAATTCAAGCCAAATCCTCCGATCCTTTGCCACAACAAGCAGCTGACTTCCTTAGCTTCCCGATCTCTGTCACCTCATGTTTTTAGTTTTCTTCTCTTTGTGCAGTTTTTTTTTTTTTGGGGGGGGGGGGGGGGGGGGGGGGGGGGGGGGGGGGGGGGGGGGGGGGGGGGGGGAGAGGGTAGGTGGGGGAAGTCTGCCTTTATTCCTTTCACTGTGTGGTCCCAGTTCAAGGACACTTAAATTATACTGCTTTCAGGTTTTTTCAATATTGTCTATTCCAACATCAGCTTCTTTTTATTACCTCCATATTCACTAGGATTTATCTGATTCTCTCCCAAAGTAGCAAAAAAAAGTTACCAGAAGAATTATTGTGTGTGACTCTCATACGGTACTGCGGAAGGTTCAAAACAGACAAATGTGGCATGAGTGAATACCAAGCATCAGTGCCTCAACATTGCAGAGAATCATGTGGATATACTGTCCGGGATACACAGGAGTATGAGGGAATGAAAGAGCAGATTTTCTGGCTACAAAAGTGATATCTACAGGAACACTTGTACTGGGCAAGGGAGACATAGTGAAAAGCGTATATGAATGACACGAGGGTTAGATGAAATAACAAGTGTAAGAACGTGTAAACAAATGATCAGGAGTGGAGCCGGCAAGGACTTGCTTATGATAGGAAGAGAATGACGTTTGTAAAACCAATGTGCTATGGGAACAATTAGCATCTACACTTAGGGCATTTGCTACAGGAGACAAAGCATCTATAGGTAAAACCAGTGTGCTAGGATGTTGATTCTCAAATCAGTAAATCCCAAAGTTGGTGATTCTGTCATATTATTTCATCAATGCACACACATGCATGCACATGTGTGTGTATGTGTGCCCACGTATATCAAATCCTAAAATACTTACACATTTGGGGACTCCACCTTGGCAAGGGAACAGTTGGGGACTCCGCCTTGGCGAGGACATGGTTGGGGACTCCGCCTTGGCAAGGAAACGGTTGGGGACTCTGCCTTGGCAAGGAAACGGTTGGGGACTCCACCTTGGCAAGGAAACGGTTGGGGACTCCACCTTGGCGAGGAAAAGGTTGGGGACTCCACCTTGGCGAGGAAAAGGTTGGGGACTCCACCTTGGCAAGGAAACGGTTGGGGACTCCACCTTGGCAAGGAAACGGTTGGGGACTCCACCTTGGCAAGGAAACGGTTGGGGACTCCGCCTTGGCAAGGAAACGGTTGGGGACTCCGCCTTGGCAAGGAAACGGTTGGGGACTCCACCTTGGCAAGGAAACGGTTGGGGACTCCACCTTGGCAAGGAAACGGTTGGGGACTCCACCTTGGCAAGGAAACGGTTGGGGACTCCACCTTGGCAAGGAAACGGTTGGGGACTCCGCCTTGGCGAGGACATGGACTAACAACTATACAGCTCCTAGTACATACATAACCAGGTAACTAGATCTGGTAACTCACATTTTAAAAATGTTAGCTCTGGGTACTTAAATGTTTTCATTATACAGACACACTTCCCACATGGGTTCCAGGGCCCCATTGTGGGGGGAAACAAGAGACCCACTGCCTTCCTGACAAGCATGTTGTAGGAGTCGACTAACTGGGAATTTCCTTCAAAGTCAAAATGCATCTGCTCAAGCAGCAAGGAACAAACAACTGCACACAAGTAAGCCGGTAAAATGGATGTACACACAAAACTCAGGCCCTGGCACAAAGCAGGAGATTATAGCTAGTGAACAAAAAAAGAAGAAGATACAGAGACACACAAAAACTATCTTGCCATAGACGCACCTGGAAAGTCGTCTGTGTGATGCCTTGAAGCCCCCAGTAGCTGGAACCTGTGTAGCCTGAACTGACGCAGAGCTCACCGACCTCATCTGCTCTGCATAACTGGGGTAACCCATCCAGTTTTATCACTACCATTGTGGCTGCAACAACAGAGAGGAAATATTTGAGTCCTATAATTTTTGTTGTGTTTTTAAAAACTCTTTCAGTATCAGTGACTAGAAAAAAAAAAATAGCAAAAGGCAAAAATATGCAGAATGCAAAGATTTGATGTTTGTGCCTTTCAGCAAATACATCTGATTACTGTGAGCATTTGTAATTTGGGTTAGCCTTCCCCGTTAGTTTCATGAGGATCCATAAAACCAACATTAACCCATTTGCCCCACAAACACCTTAAAAAATGGGACCTGAACTGTGGGAATTCCTGAACAAAACTCCTTTAAATAAAAAATTTTTTCACACAGATCCCTAATTAATCTTAAGAAAAATTTATATATCGACATCAAACACAAAGAAAAAAATTACACAAATTTATTTCGAAATATATAAAGATATATTAAGAGAATAATTAATAAACATGAAACAGAGTGAAGCACAAAATGGAATGCACCCACCTCCCCCATTTTCAAAAAAAAAAAAAAAAAAAAACATCTATCAGGTAATTTATGCCATTACCCTGTGACCTGTGACCTTTATCACTGAGGCTATGGGACATTTGACATCAACATGGTTTTAAAAAAGGTAATTTCGTTCACAAGAACCCTAATATAGACCAACTGACACTGTATGTGATGAGGTGAACATCATGCACATCATCATCAGGGATTTCCTGGTCCCCAATTTGCACTGGATCAACATGGGAGCCAAGATGCAAATTCAAATTCAAGACCTGAACAGTTCAAGATCAACAAGGAGCAACTCACCTCCAGGCATGACCTGTCCACAGTCTTGTAACGTCAGAGAAGTTAAACTGTTCTCACTGTCCACTCTGACCACGCCAAAACTCAAACCCTGCATAGACAGAATACCCCGGCCAGTAGCACTCGAGCTAGTTCGCCCAGGCCTGAAAACAAAATGGCTGTTATTAAAGCATGAATTTGCCACAGAAATCACAAATTAATTTTATCTAAAATAAAAAAAATAAAAAGGAAGGTCCTCTAACAGACATTCTAACATAAAGACACTGGTGATAAAACAACATAATTCAGCAGCAGTCTAAATACTTTAGGGATGTTACATGAGCAGAAAACTGACACACTGACATGGGTATAATAAGTCCAACCTTTAATCCTATGACACACACAATGAATGACTAATCTTTAATTCCATCACACCACGAGATGTAAAAATTAAATAAGTAAAGGACCTTTTTCTACACTTTCGAGCGTATTGGGCATATTGTACTAGACCTATATTTTTACAGACCAACTGGTGGCTGATGTGCTCCGTTCAGATGCAGGCTACATCACACAATGACATGAATACTTCTTTTTCTGTATTTACTCTGAAAAAGGGCAGTTAGCATGATGTGTGGTGGTTTACAGCTTGGCCCAATACATCCAACTTCTAATTAGTCGTATTGTACCCATGCTTAGTAGAACTCATAACCCTATGATACATCAACACATAAGTAATTCTAACCTTTAACACCGTGACACAATTACTCTAATCTTCAACCCAATGACAAACTGTTATCTGAGCAAGCATTCTAACCTTATTACACCATGACACAACTACTCTAACCTTTAACCCTATGATACAATTACTCTAACCTTTACCCTAATGATAAACTGACATAGGACAATCATTATAAGCTTTAACACTGTGTCATAATTATTCTAACTTTTAACCCCATGACACACTGATACAATTACTCTAAACTTCAACCTAATGACAAATAGACATAGAACAATCATTCTAACCATTAACACCATGACACAATTACTTTAACCTTTAACCCCATGACACAATTACTCTAACCTTTAACCCAATGACAAACTAACACAAAACAATCATTCTAACATTTAACCATATGATACGATTACATTAACCTAAACACCATGACACAATTACACTAACCTTTAACCCAATGACAAACTGACACAGAACAATTATTCTAACCTTTAACCCCATGACACACTGATACAATTTCTCTAAACTTCAACCTAATGACAAACAGACATAGAACAATCATTCTAACCATTAACACCATTACTTTAACCTTTAACACCATGACACAATTACTCTAACCTTTAACCCAATGACAAACTGACACAAAACAATTATTCTAACATTTACCCGATGATACAATTACTCTAACTTTTAAATCCATGACACAATTACTCATAACCTTTAACCCAATGAAAAACTGACAGAACAATTATTCTAACCTTCAACCTCATGACATAGTGATTTGAATGCCAGAATTCTAAGTGTTAATTTCATGACAAACTGACATGAACACAATAATTCTGTCAAGTTAAGTGTAACTGGCACAAACTTGCAGATAATTAACTTCACATTTAGAGAACATGCTTACATTCATTACATCCTTATATCCATCAGCAGAAATGTGGACTTTCAGAAGAATGCAAAAAATATCATGGGATGATAGAAAAACAAAGGAGACAATGAAAGTCGTAAACTGAATCAGAAGTACCAGACGTAGGCAGGGATTTTACGGACATGTTATGAGAATCAGTGGACTTGAGAACTTGGTAACAACTGGCAAGACTGATGGAAAGGGAACAACAGGAAGGCAAAGAGATAAATACATGGATGGCTTGGCCAAATGGATGTAATGAGACAAGAACAGTGACCTGATCTGTGACTCCGGAAATCACTGGATCTGGCAAGACATGACAGCCCATGCTTATCGGCACAGCACATAAGGATGATGATAATATAATCATCAACCCATCCACTTACCTTCTGATGGAGACTGTGAGGGCCTCAGATGAGCTGGCACAAGGGCATATGGCCTCTGGTCTCAGACCTTTGCTTTGAAAAGCACTTAGAAATGAATCACAAGATGTTAAAGACCCTGGAAAAATAAGACAGAGCCACTTTAATTATCTGCAACAACAACAACAACAAATTACTAACAAATATCATTATCACCATTATAGTCCCATAACACTGCAGGTCTTGAGTCACGATAGGGGACTGTTGATCAGTTCTCTCCACATCTCTCAGTCAGATGCAGTGTAACTGATATGTTGCATGTTTGAGGCTAGACCAGTCAGCCCAATACTGTATCCAGGTCTTTCTTGGTCTAACTCCCAATACTGTATCCAGGTCTTTCTTGGTCTAACTCCCAATACTGTATCCAGGTCTTTATTGGTCTAACTCCCAATACTGTATCCAAGTCTTTCTTGGTCTAACTCCCAATACTGTATCTAAGTCTTTCTTGGTCTAACTCCCAATACTGTATCCAGGTCTTTCTTGGTCTAACTCCCAATACTGTATCCAGGTCTTTCTTGGTCTAACCCCCAATACTGTATCCAGGTCTTTCTTGGTCTAACTCCCAATACTGTATCCAGGTCTTTATTGGTCAAACTCCCAATACTGTACCCAGGTCTTTCTTGGTCCAACTCCCAATACTGTATCCAAGTCTTTCTTGGTCTAATCCCCAATACTGTATCCAGGTCTTTCTTGGTCTAACTCCCAATACTGTATCCAGGTCTTTCTTGGTCTAACCCCCAATACTGTATCCAGGTCTTTCTTGGTCTAACTCCCAATACTGTATCCAGATCTTTCTTGGTCTAACCCCCAAAACTGTATCCAGGTCTTTCTTGGTCAAACTCCCAATACTGTATCCAAGTCTTTCTTGGTTTAACTCCTAAAACTGTATCCAAGTCTTTCTTGGTCTAACTCTTCTTCTCTCCCTCTCTACTGAACAATGTAATGTCAATCTGGAGAGGTCCATAGATTATTTTTACTTGTCTGAACCATTGCATTTCCTGTCTTTTAAATGCTGTTAAAATTGTGCCATAGATGCCAGTGTGCTGAATTATAACAGAAGGAACTTCTTCCTGGACGATGTTGCCTCTGTTTGATGTACCAAAGATCTTTCAAAAATATACCCTTTACAATAAGCGTATATTCTTCCAGGTCTGAATGTTGTTAAATGCTGAATTAAGAATCAACATCACAGCACTGGGGACACTCCCATAAGCGCTCTGTCCCCATCTTCAGCAGCAAGCGAAGAGTTCCAAATCTGATGGTACCAGTAACTGTATATCCGTCTCGCACTTCCCTAGAGTGTTGAGCGTCAGCAAGATCCCCTGGTAACTCCCTGCAGCAGTAGTCTGGATGTTAAGGGCAAAGTGTCACAGCCGTGTGTAAAGGTACTGATGGCTAGTACTCACTAAGTAGTCACATTTTTGTTTTACATCAAATGGTCCTTTATAAACAATTATACCCTGGAATAATAGCACTAATCACATAATTTATCTGCAAGAAAAAATATACAGCATAAATAAACAGCAGCCATCACACGAAGCACAATAATCTATCTTAGTTATAAGGACTTCCGGTTAAAATGGACGCTAGACATCGGCGCTGTTCGAAGCAGAGGCAAATTTTTTGCTTCTGCCGGACGGTGGCCGAAGTATTTTTGCTCCATTTGTAGACTGGATATAGTTTCGTCGCCCAGCTTCTGAGTTGAATGCATGGCGTGACCCTGTGAGCTGCAGATTGCATTTGGAATGCATTTTCGACTGTGACCAACGTGGTGGTGTGCAGAATTGTAGATTCAGAAAATAGCGTGATGCCTGTCGCGCAATGTTGGCGGTGCCCGTATCTGGTTAAAATTGATCGAGTGGACAACTGCTGAACTGTTGGCAACAAGTTCTGCTATCATCAATGATGAAACTGCATTTCTAATGTTGGACTGTTTGTGTTAGCACTTCGGATGGCTACCGTATGCTTTAATGCGAGTGTATGCTAGATATGCTGAGACAGCAGTCTGTCAATCTTTCCACAAGGGACTGTGATAAACATTCTGAGTGTTTTTCGTTGCCATAGGAGCGGAGCAAAGATGGGGCGACCCGTTGCTATGAAGCTGAAACTAAGACTACCAGACTACCAGATCTTAGTTATAAGAACAACTACCTGTTCTATTCAATGTTGCAACAGTAGAAAAAAGAGCTGTTTTGTCTCCTCTGTTGCCTCAGACTTTGTCAAAGAGTGTTGAGCAAAGAGAGAGGAATACCACCACCTTGAGAAGAGGCATAGCCAGATAGCTCAGGATGACCCAATTTTTGGGGGTCTCCTTAACTTTTTCAATTAGATAACTCCCCATGCTGAATTCCATGAAACAGTTTTGTCCAACTAGGCAAACTGAGTTTACACTGATAATGCACATAAATCTTGAAGGGACACACCAATACTAAATCATCATTGTTTTGTGGAAGTTCGAAAGCTAGAGCAACAAATTCCAACAGAAAATGTGGCCAGGCAGAGCCCAGTAGCCTAGACTGGGTGATGTGGTCAACAACCCGCCAGCCACCTTTATTCTCCTTGCACGAATTTTAGAGTGGGTCAAACCTCACAACCAAGGCCAATTCTGAAAGAAAAATCTGCCTTAATGCAAATTCAAACCCTAGACCTTCAGGGTGGCAGACAAGCATTTAGCTGCAATGCTGACCCCCCCCCCCCCCCCCCCCCCCAATACATAAAAAAAAATGTGCTGCGGTAACACATGAAATCAGGCAACAGCACAAACTCACATGGGTTAGCACCATCAGCAATCAGTAGTAATCGAAGTGAACTGAAGTTGATATCTTTATGGTCCTTCTGAGCGAGCAAACCCCAGTGCATGTCTCTTGACTTCACAATGGCCACCGTAGCTAGCAGATATGAGACACAGTTAATTATTAATACCAGGTCAAAATACTATGAATTTTTACTTTTTGTTTGCAATTAAGAATAAATTAGTAAATGTGAAAACACCAAAAAAAAAAAAAAAGATGCTTCAAAGAGGGTAACAAGACAGAAAGGGAAGAAACTATGCCAAATCAGGAGAGTTAATATTGGTAAATGCAGTGCAAGCTGTAATTTTATAATAATAAAATGAAGCATAGAAAATGATAGAAAAATGAAGATGACATTATGTTAATGAAAGATTAAAGACTGGCAGACAAACATTCCCCCCCCCCCCCACTCACTCTCTCTCTCATGCACTTTATGGCAAAGTTGTTAAGGTATTTTCATCGCATTCTGAAGGTTGTGAGTTTATTTTCAGACTCTGTATGTTGAAAATTGTATTTCTTGTAAAAACCTCTAAGGCAGTGGTTCTCAACCTTCCTAATGCTGCGACCCTTTAATACAGTTCCTCATGTTGCAGCCCTTTAATACAGTTCCTCATGTTGTGGTGACCCTTTAATACAGTTCCTCATGTTGTGGTGACCCTTTGATACAGTTCCTCATGTTGTGGTGACCCTTTAATACAGTTCCTCATGTTGTGGTGACCCTTTAATACAGTTCCTCATGTTGCAGCCCTTTAATACAGTTCCTCATGTTGTGGTGACCCTTTAATACAGTTCCTCATGTTGTGGTGACCCTTTGATACAGTTCCTCATGTTGTGGTGACCCTTTAATACAGTTCCTCATGTTGTGATGGCCCTTTAATACAGTTCCTCGTGTTGTGGCGGCCCTTTAATACAGTTCCTCATGTTGTGGTGGCCCTTTAATACAGTTCCTCATGTTGTGATGACCCTTTAATACAGTTCCTCACGTTGTGGCAACACCCAAGCATACAATTATTTTTGTTGCTACTTTATAACTTCAATGAATTTTTGTTCTGAGATGGACTTTGGCCATCCCTGTGAAAGGGTCGCTACCCATAGGTTGAGAATCGCTGCCCTAAAGTGTTGACACAGAAGTTATAGTTTCATACTTTGTGCAACAGTCTCGGCGCGCAAACAGTGGCTCTGCAAAAGAAAGACTGCCTTATGGAATATAATCCATTGTGATGAAGCAAATCCCCTGAGTTTTAAACACACATAAACTATACTGAGACAGTTGAAGAAGAAATTTACTCAAAAAATTCACAATATATAAATTAATAATATGGCTTAAGAAAAGTCACAATATCAATCAATCAGTATTTCCTTTACCAAAATGTCACTCTCTTCATGTATATCTTTCTCCAGCCAACTCTACAGCCCTGTGTGTTTTCACAGACAATGCATCTTCAATGTCCTGTACCCATCTTCCCCGAGGTCGGCCTATGCATCGTTTTCCAGAAACTGCATTCTCCCTCCATAAACGTTCTCTCTAAACCACCATTTGTTTTTGTTTGATGGCACCTTTCCGTCTTTCCAGATGATAGTGTTTTATCATGCTATGAGTAGGCGTGGGACACTCATACCCACAGCGATGGCGAGTGTGACTAGCAAGACCCGCCGGTGTTAAATTTTACAGCCTGGGGCGGCCACAGGACCACTGTTGTCATCGTTTGCATTTAGTCCAGACCACAGTGGAGTCACAATGTATCAATGTAAAAATACAGCTTGAGGACTGGCAATATTACCTTTGTATTTGGTAACCATTTTCATCCATGAAGCAGGATCCACTTTCATCAGTGAATATGGAATAAATATCACGTGCATTCCATTAAATACACTCTGGGGACAGGAAAAAAATACACAAACATGAAAATAAAATATTGCGTACATACGTGACTACAATATGTAAGATACATTTTTCAGTGCCGTCTCCACAATGGGAAGTTAGCTACTGTGCATTCCCTGGTGTCTTTTGTGGATTATGTGGTGAGGCCCCAACCTCGTCCACATATGCAACTCTTAAACCACTTTCCGAAAGCCACGTGAGAAGTTTACCATATAAGAAAATTCTACAAACAACAATAACACTGCTCACAAATTTTTCTCAGTGGGGATTCAGGGGCCTAATTTATTTTTATGTTTTAAAGGGTGGGGGAGGTGGGGGTAGACAAAACAGACTCGCTGCCCCTTACTTAACAAACATGTCAAAAGAGACTAAATAATGGATCAGCTGAAACTCGATGTAATAGGGCGAAAGGTGCTGATATAGCCACCTAACTGTAAAACACAACACAATGTGTAAACGTCCTTTTACAGGCACAAGCAGAAAAAAAGTTGAAGCTCAACAGATTTCAGCTTAAGTCTTGCACAGATAACAAATTCCTACAAAAACAACAACACTGTTGACAGATTTTTGACAATACTTACGCACAAAATGCCGTGCCACAGACCAACTTCTCTCTTGAAGTCTAGCACACATACCATCACTTCACCTGTAGAGGACCAAAGATAATATTTATACATCAGTAGTTTTTTGCCTAAGCTTCAACAATTTGTTTCTGCTATCTGTTTTCTACCTAAGCTTAAACAACTCTTTTCTGCTATCTGTTATCTACCCAAGCTTAAACAACTGTTTTCTGCTATCTGTTTTCTACCCAAGCTTAAACAACTCTTTTCTGCTGTTTTCTACCCAAGCTTGAACTGAACAACTCTATTCTGCTGTTTTCTACCCAAGCTTAAACAATTCTTTTCTGCTATCTGTTTTCTACCCAAGCTTAAACAACTCTTTTCTGCTATCTGTTTTTTACCCAAGCTTAAACAACTCTTTTCAGCTATCTGTTTTCTACCCAAGCTTAAACAACTCTTTTTGCTATCTGTTTTTTACCCAAGCTTGAACAACTCTTTTCTGCTATCTGTTTTCTACCCAAGCTTAAACAACTCTTTTTGCTATCTGTTTTCTACCCAAGCTTGAACAATTCTAAAGATATAAGACCCATATAGGACAACTGGTCTTATCAGTGGTTTACGTAATGAGATCTTGGTGTTAAGAGACAGAGCATTTGATTAGGAAGATGATGAAAGCACAGTATACATTATTTCCAGGCTATTCTAGATCGTATTTCTCCTCTTACTATGATGGAACAGTTGAGCTTGTACCCAAGTACTTGTACGTTTCTGTTCTTTTGATTTTCATAATATCTATCTGTATATAACTAGAGTGGGGCTGTGTAAGAACAGTCGATAGGAGACTTGCTTTCAAATCCAGCTGCGACTCGCTGCAGCCCATGGCCGGTGTTTGATACCGGCCGGTTCCAGGGGTTCACCCAGCCTCTAGGTAATGGGTACTAGAGTTGACACTCTGGGGTAAATGAAGGAACGTCGCTGTAGCTACGGAGTTGCATGCTGAGGGCGACACAGGCCGACAGTTTCTTATCAGCTGTCCGTACTGGTGGCACAGCACTTATGGTTTATAACTGTGCAATGAGGCTGGTTCACACCTCCCTACTTTACCTTTTTTTAATATACATACATATAACTAGAGTTTATATCCTTTCCCTGTCTTGTTATTACCCATCTTTGTCAAATCCCATTTTATAATCAGATATTTACGCCTCATTAATATGTATCACTTGTAATATTTAAATTCACCTTGTGTCCACCCCCAAATTTAATTTTTGTTTAGCCACAAAAGCACATATTATTTCCAGAAATATATTATTGTCTAGTTTAAAACCCATTCCTTAAATTACATGTCAAAGTCAGACAAGATAATAACTGTGTTCCTTAATAAGCTTCAGCTATAGTCCGTTTTTTAATTCGTGTCATTGTATTAACGATAATTTCTCGACAATTACTTAGCCTGGGATTTTTTTTGGGCATGGGCTTCTATTTTCATCTCAACGTCAATGTTTTATAAATAAATATCTGCACGTCCAGTTTTATCGAATAAATGATTTCTTGGTTATATTCATCATTTGTATAATTTTAGATAGGTAACAAAACAAATTTTACAGTATCAAAGTATGACAGAAGTTAGAGGCCTTTCTGCAATTCTTTATCATAGGGGATGTAAGTTCCAACCCCTCTCAGAATTTTCTATAATGTACTTTTGGTCAAATCAGTGCCAAGGTTCTGTCTAAATTTAGGTTTTAATTTCTTCAGCATCAATAATTATTCATCGCCCAATACTGATGATTTAATAACTTCGTAGTCAAAGCGTTTGATTTTTTTTTTCCTACCTTGCTCAACACTGGTATGTAAGAAACAATTTTCCATCAATAAGCAACAGAAAGTAAATAATCCCTGTCACTTACCTTCTGTGTAGTTTCCTGCTATTGTCAGTCAATAAGCAATATAATAAAGAATTCCCATTATTAACCTTCTTCTGCGTAGTTTCCTAATACTGTACATCGATGAGCAGTTGAAAGAAACAATTCCTGTCACTAACCTTCTCTGTAGTCTGCCGCTATTGTCAGTCAATAAGCAATATAATAAAGAATTCCCATTATTAACCTTCTTCTGCGTAGTTTCCTAATACTGTACATCGATGAGCAGTTGAAAGAAACAATTCCTGTCACTAACCTTCTCTGTAGTCTGCCGCTATTGTCCGTCAATAAGCAATATAAGAAAGAATTCCCATTATTAACCTTCTTCTGAGTAATAGTTTCCTAACAGTGTCTATCAATAAACAATAGGAAGAAACAATTCCTTCACTAACCTTCTGTGTAGTTTGCTGCTATTGTCTATCAATAAACAATAGGAAGAAACAATTCCTTCACTAACCTTCTGTGTAGTTTGCTGCTATTGTCTATCAATAAACAATAGGAAGAAACAGTTCCTTCTGTGTAGTTTGCTGCTATTGTCTATCAATAAACAATAGGAAGAAACAATTCCTTCACTAACCTTCTGTGTAGTTTGCTGCTATTGTCTATCAATAAACAATAGGAAGAAACAGTTCCTTCACTAACCTTCTGTGTAGTTTGCTGCTGTTGTCTATCAATAAACAATAGGAAGAAACAGTTCCTTCACTAACCTTCTGTGTAGTTTGCTGCTATTGTCTATCAATAAACAACAGGAAGAAACAATTCCTTTACTAACCTTCTGTGTAGTTTGCTGCAATTGTCTATCAATAAACAATAGAAAGAAACAATTCCTGTCACTAACCTTCCCTGTAGTTTGCCGCTATTGTCCATCAATGAGCAACAGAAAGAAACAATTCCTATTATTAACCTTCTGTGTAGTTTCCTGCTATTGTCTATCAATAAACAATAGTAAGAAACAGTTCCTTCACTAACCTTCTGTGTAGTTTGCTGCTTTTGTCTATCAATAAACAATAGTAAGAAACAATTCCTTCACTAACCTTCTGACTAGTTTGCTGCTATTGTCTATCAATAAACAATAGTAAGAAACAATTCCTTCACTAACCTTCCCTGTAGTTTGCCGCTATTGTCTATCAATAAACAATAGTAAGAAACAATTCCTTCACTAACCTTCTGTGTAGTTTGCTGCTATTGTCTATCAATAAACAATAGTAAGAAACAATTCCTTCACTAACCTTCTGTGTAGTTTGCTGCTATTGTCTATCAATAAACAATAGTAAGAAACAGTTCCTTCACTAACCTTCCCCGTAGTTTGCCGCTATTGTCCATCAATGAGCAACAGAAAGAAACAGTTCCTTCACTAACCTTCTGTGTAGTTTGCTGCTATTGTCTACCAATAAACAACAGGAAGAAACAATTCCTTCACTAACCTTCTGTGTAGTTTGCTGCTATTGTCAATGTCTGACAGTGGCAGAGCATGTTATTCCTTGTAACCACTACTCCTACAGTGCTGCCATCTTTGTTCAGAGCATACTGTTCAAAACAAAGTATTACATTAACATGGTTTTGTAATCCAAGTAGATCAAATGCAGAAAATTATAAATGAGTAATGTAAAATATTTTTAAATACTTTCACAGTAGAGATAAAATGGGAATGCAAGAAACTATGCAGCATAATCAATCAATCAATCAGATGACATCTTGGCAATGAAGGTTGGCTGTAATAAATCTCCAATATGCTGCCTCTCACTATCTGAGCTAAACACTTTCTGATATTGCTGTTGATCCATCTCTTGGTGATATCTTCACATTTGTATCACTCCTGTTTTTTACTTACTTGCTTGCATGGTTTCAAACTTTTCCTCTTGTATGGTTTGCTTAAAGAGAATCTCCTAGTAGCAATGTGATTAAAAACTTAACTCGTCTCAAACTTAACTTGTCTTATTTTTATCGCTTTCAACAGCATTAATAAATCAATGTAAAAAGACAGTATAACAAAACAAAAAACAAAAAAAATAGTAACAATAATGAAAGCCAAACAAGATGAAATGAGGGTTTTCTCCTAAAGATAATGCAAGTGAGCGAAAGCCATAAAAAGTAAGGATCAACAACTTTTTTCCTTTTTCCCTAGGAAAATCTCCAGATTTGGCACTTATCTGAATGTTAGAACAATGTCTACATTTAGAATGATAAGTGGACTGAAAGAAATATAAGATTTTTGATTATTTAAAACATTACTGAAAATAACAAGACAAATCTTAACATTAGGTGACTGTTTTGTTATCATGTCATACAAAGGATAATGACTCCACTTTCTAAAGACCCAGTGAAAGCACTAACGTAATAGTTCCTTATGTGCTCCAGCTAAATGCAAAAAGGGAGCAGCAGTAGCATAGTGGCTAGACACTCACCACCAACCTGAAGGTTTTGGGTTCAAATCGGCACATTTGTTTTCCTCAAACCCGCTCATGGCTCCCAGGTCGACTCAGCCTACAATGGGTATCAGATAATATCCTGGGAAGTAAAAGTTGGCTAGCATGATGGTGACTGCATCAGCTTCTGAACTATGAATGGTCTATAAAATATAAGTACAGCTTCATATGCTAGATGTGCCATTAGTGTAAAAAAAAAGGTTCTTTTAGACCTTGGCTCCCAGGTTGACCCAGCCTTGAGTGGGTACCAGGTGCAGTCCTGGAAATTAGAGGTGGGTGGTGTGATGCTGACCACATTATCCATCAAGTGCCGCTTGGTCTATAAAATATAGGGTAGCCCTACATACCCAGGGTCCTTTACTTACTTCCTTTTACATGCAAGAAGTACAATATGCATGTCTAGATATTAAAATACCCCATCTCTTCAGAATATCCCTGAGATCTGTTAACTGGTAACATTCCAGGCATCAGTGCTCACCTCAATGTAAGCAGGAACATCCCCGCTAGGTTTCGGCGGTGGTCTCCAGTCTCGTGATGGCTTGCTAAGGTTCTCTGTTATGAACCAGTTTAATTTTGGCCAGCCTAAACAGGAAAAATAAAAAATAAATTTAATTTCATGTCTTGAATTTTTTTTGTTAATTAAGTATCTACCACAGTCTTATTTACTTATTTGTAGTAGTAATAAAAAAAAAGATATCCTGTTCAACCCATCTTTGTTATAAATGATATAAAGAGTATTTGTTTTTTGAATGTCCCATTTATGCTTGCCAACAGCTTTTGGTTAATTAATATTGCACAGATTGTGTATTACCTGTAACATAATTTTGGAAGGTAGACTTTTTTGTTGTGAAACAAATGTTATGTATACCTTGGACGGCTAGAGTAACTAACAATGATTGCTTGAAAGAAGCTAGTGAAAGTAGATCTCTATATACAGGTTTTGTATAAATACAACAATAAGAAAGAGACAAACACTGTGAAGAGAGATGAGAAGAGAGACATTGGAGAACATGGTGACAACTGGAAAGATCAGTGGAAAAAGGGGTAGAGGCAGACCAAGAGAGATGATGCTGGATGGGCTGAAACGACGGCATGGAGGAATATCATCAAGAGAGCTGTTCCAGTCAATCAGGGATCGTGATTTGTGGAGACGCATGAGCGCCTATGCCAGTTGGCAGAGCACAGGATGAGATGATGATGATGATGATGAGACTGCTGTTGAGATTGTACTTTTTAAATGATTGTGATGATCATACTGTACAATGCACCTTTGGGAATGTTTAAAGTGATCTGGCATACCATAATTCTGTCTGAAGAAATATTTATACCTCATATGCAAACTGTTGTTTTTGTAAGTCATGTTTTATCCTTCCTCTGGAATTCTCTACAGCTATCTATTCCCAGCATATTTTCTACAGTTCATTAGCTCATTTCGCACCTTTTTGTCTTTTAAGATGATAGTTTTGTCATTAGCCTTCATTATGTTACTGCAGCAGTAGTTGCTTTCTCTTCAGAACTGCCCTAATTGACTGCTGTGGAGGCATAATCATTAGTTTGCTTGCCTACCAAGGCAGTGTTCCAGTTTCAATCTTTGGCAGAGACAGCTTTATTTTGTTTTGAACCCGCCAGTACAGATTTAATCTTAGCCTCATAAAAATGAATAAAAATATCTTTGGAATATTATCCAGCAACAAAGAGGTGATGATGAAGGGAGCTGGGCACCACAACTCATATGTGAAGGCCTAATAATTAACGTACATTTACTTTTTGAAAAATGCGCCTTAGTTTTTAATATGGTTATCCCTCATTGGGATAGTCAGTTCAAATACTAGTGTTGGACATGTTCCTATATGTCACTGCAATGTTGCCAGTTCTAAGTGATACCTTTCATTTCTGCATACATATATATTCTTGTTCTCCTTTTTCTGCATTCGTCTTTAAAAGAGTTTGCTGCTGTTTACACACAGGCTGCACTATTGTGCCTTTCAGCCCAACACATCACATTTCATCAAACCCTTCATCATCATAAACCACTTCTACCATTAAGAGTCATGGGGAGGAATAATTTGAATGCTGGCTGGCAGTGGCTATTGTCATGCCGTGAAGGCGTAAAGTGTCTTTAATGTTGTCAACCCATGTTTTTGTGGCTGTGCTCTCTTGCTTTTACAGCTGATATTCTGAGATGTAGTGCCTGTAATGGTTTTTGATTTTGTTGCATTCTAACAAGATGGTCAAACCACCTCATCTGCCATTTCTCGATAAATCTAGTACAAGGTGTTGGTCCCGCTATCTATCTATTAGTATCATTATTTACTCAATCTCAGATGGTTAGGGTGGCAGCTTTTCTTGGGCATCTCATCTCTAAGTGATGATTTTGTGTATCTGGGCTTTAGTTACTTGTCCAATGTTTGGCACTGGTAGCTCAATGTTGGTATAAATATGCTTTGGGGTGGGGGGGGGGGGGGAGTTGCCACTCATAGTTATGTTTGGATGTCTTAATAATGGTGACAACTGGTATTAAAGTGCACTTGCTTTCTGACATTCGATTTCTATTTTTCTGCCAATTCTGCCATCTTCTGTGATGAAATTTCCTAGATATTTAAATTCCCCAACATGTTTTAGGCCAGAACCATTCAGCAGTATAACAAAATCCTTAGTGGTAAACTTTTACCATATGTTTGTTCAGTAACAACAGGTTTATGCCCCCAAATGAGGCCTCAGAACCCACACAGGGAACATGCATGCATCTGAACCCAATATACCTGCAAATTCCAACATCCTTGTATGATATTTGATTCAGCTGTTTCTTGGATACTCCCTACCTCTTCTCCCTGAATTTTTCCTGAAAGTATTTTAACAGCACACTTCCATCTCTCATACTGGGACCAAGTCAAGACAGCCCCCTTTGTACTGTTAAACATACTTTTCAATAAAGCATCCGCTAACAAGACTAATGTGCCATCTCCACAAGCAAGGTTGGCTACAGTGCAATCTCCACAATCAAGGCTAGCTAAAGTACCATATCCACAATCAAGGCTGGCTTCACTACAATCTCCACAATGAAGGTTGGTTACAGTACAATCTCCAAAATCAAGGCTGGCTACAGTACAATCTCCAAAATCAAGGCTGGCTACAGTACAATCTCCAAAATCAAGGCTGGCTACAGTACAATCTCCAAAATCAAGGCTGGCTACAGTACAATCTCCACAATCAAGGCTGGCTACAGTACAATCTCCACAATCAAGGTTGGCTACAGTACAATCTCCACAATCAAGGTTGGCTACAGTACAATCTCCACAATCAAGGTTGGCTACAGTACAATCTCCACAATCAAGGTTGGCTACAGTACAATCTCCACAATCAAGGCTGGCTACAGTACAATCTCCAAAATCAAAGTTGGCTATAGTACCATCTACTGCATTCTGTGGAAATATTATACAGTGAGGCCCAAGCTCTTTCATAGTACAACTGTCAAAAAAAAAAAAAAAAATAAGATTTTATTTATTTACTTTTTAAATTTGTTCTTATTGATTTAAATAAACTTCCCACTGTGAAAATAAAACCCTCAAGGGTCATGGAACTGGTAAATGCATTCATTAATCTCCATGTCATACCAGTCACACCTATAGACTACAAACAAACAAGCAAAACAGAAATACTACCTTTGAATGTGACAACCTCTCCACTTGATGACTTGGGTAGGCCTTTAAAACAGTTCTCTGAAGTAAGGGCCCAGCAGGCACTCAAGCTACCAAGCAGAAAGCCTACTCCTGCTCCACCAGCATTCTGCAAGAGATGAAAAGGTGATGTTAGAAGATAGCTTGGTTGAAATAAAAGGTAACCAGTCTAGTTGCAGATGCAGAGAAACTACAGTCACAGCCCCCAGCACAGTCCTTTATGTATTCTGACCCCATCTTCAGCAGCCAGCAAAGTAAAAGAAAAATAAAGTAAAGGAAAGGACCTTTTCCCACACCTTTTAGGCGTATTGGGCATACAGAACTGGACCTACATTTTATAGACCAGTCAGGACTTGGTGGGTGATGTGGTCAGCATCACAGTGGCTGTCTTTACTTCCCAGGACTGACCCTGGTACCCACCCAAGACTGGGTCGACCTGGGAGCTAAGGTCATTTTTTAAAATAAAAGTCTGACCCTGCCAGGATCCGAACCCATGACTTTCTGATTTGCATGCAAGCGTCGTAGCCGCTAAACCATGGCGACTCCCAAGTTTCCAGAGAAACTGCTTTAAATCTGACTTCACATGAAACCATTTCTCAAGGTATTGTGTTAGCTGTTATTTCAGGTCTGCTGACATCAAAATGTGTTATGAATCTAACATCAGCATTCTGTTTTGGTGTTATGTGTCATATATGGATCATAGGGGCCACGATAGCGCAGTCGATAGGAGACTTGCTTTCAAATCCAGCTGTGACTCGCAGCAGCCCAGGGCTGGTGTTTGAAACCAGGTGGTTTCCTTCAAGGGTTCACCAAAGCCCAAGGTAATGGGTTCAAAAGTTAACACTCTGGGGTAAACAGAGGAAGGTCGGTGTAGCTACGGAGTTGTGTGCAGACGGCGACACAGGCGGACAGTTTCGTATCAGCAGTCCATACTGGTGGCAGAGCACTTATGGTTTATAACCGTGTGCAATGACACGGTTCACATTTCCCGACTTTACCTTTACCATTATATGGATCATAATTACTATAAAATATTTTTTTAATACTGTGTACGGAGACCAGCCCCTCTGACCACGACTGTCCTAGAATTTTGAACACAACTCAATAGTGTATTTATCAACTGCGTTCCTAGTGTCAGGCTGTGTTCGCACTTCTGATGGCTGCCTTATGCATTCAATATGTTTGTACACTACTGGATTCGCTGAGAATGCAGTCTGTTAAACGAAACGCAGCAATTATGTATGGGGTGACCCGTTAGCTATGATCTGGAACTGCGATTACCTGATTATCAGATAGTTGTTATATTACCCCTCACTCTGTATTAGTTATTAATTTATAACAACTTTTATCCCAGTAAGCTGTTCTGTGACTCCCTTCTGCCCTAGTCACATTGTATCATTTCAGTGCTCTAGTCACATTGTATCATTACAGTGTTCTTTTCCTTTCTTTTGCTGATTTAACAAATGGTTACGACAACAATAGTTATGAACATTATATTTGTGCTGCGCAATTTAAAAAAATAGTACATTCAGAACAATGTTTTCCCATTATAATTTTAAATAATGCCATCAGAAACAATACACCACACAATTGATTAAAGGTACAGTGTTTGATATCTTCATCGTCATGTACCTTGATGTTAAAACAGACCTGTTCTTCTGCTAACGACTGTCCTCTATTTACTTGATAAGCAAACCATGTACTGTATTCTGTGCCATCTTTCAGAATACTCTAGCATCCTCCGTTTCTAAGACACTGAATTTCCCAACTGACGCGACTTTCTCTATAACCTCTGCTCTCATGGGTACCCAAACAATGACAATTATCTTTGGGGAAACAAGAATAGACCCACTGCCTCCTAAACAAGCATGTCATAGGAGTCGGCTAATTGGCAGCATCCTTTAAAGTTGGAGTGCATCTGCCTCAGAGGCAAGAGTATGCACATAAATAAGCGAGATTTTTTTTTAAACACAAAAATGGACGTGCATGCAACACTGCTTGGTAGCTTGGTAGCTTGAGTTTTGAAAACAACTAAAGTCCGGAAGTGGACAATCAACTAGAACTTTCTGCCAAAGTTTTTGGCTGTTGAACGTCAAGAAGAAGAGAAGCCTCTTAAAGTACTTGCTTACTCATCTTCCTAGCTATCCACCGGCTTGATATCAGGAGTGCCGATGGAAAGAAAACAAAAACAAAATCTTAAAAGGTGAACTTCTGTACATGGTTGGGGGAAGGGGTAATGGGGATATCTTAGTATCCTTAAAATCTGGAAAAAGGGGCAATGATGGTCTCAAGATGTCTAATCCCCCAGGTTCTGGAGCCTCTACCTGAAAGAAAACAAATTTACTGACCTATGCTAGTGACTACAAAAATAAGAAATCTGTTCTCCAATGATTGTAACAAAATATTAATCATTCAAGACTTACATCTGATGTGCCACCTCTTTTTGATAAAGGAACCTCAACAGGTACTGGGACAACTCCAGCCAACACGCAGCCGTAGAAAGCACAGACAAAAGATATCGGGTCGTTGTTTGGGTACACTAAAGCAACCTAAAATGTAAAACAAATGTTAAATAAAGTAATGTTTGCATATGGTAAATCTGAAATAAGAAGACAGCCAGCAGAATGTGCAATTTACTGCCTGTGCACCTGACAAGACTAAACGAAATATGCTAGGTAATGAACTGTACAGTCTATCATTCCAGTGACATAAACAAATAATCAATAATTTCTACTGCTGTAATATATTACAGTAAACTTCATAATGTACAATTCATCTCATTATCTATCTAAGGTACTATGACATTTATTAAACTATGTGGGTTCTAACATATCAGATCTATAATGTTAACCCCATATCTCAATAGCCCAATCAGTTCTCAATAGAAAATTAAGTCAATAAAATGCTTTCTTGAAAAGGGGGAAATGCCCACATGTCATCTGAAATGTTCAAATACAGCACCTCTGTTGCAAAGAAACTAACTGAATTAATTTAATATCATAAATGAGCTATGATCTTTAATGAAGTAAGATCAACACTATACATTTATTTTTTCGTTAGACTGATTTAATAAAATCTTGTCAAAGTTATTAACTCATAGTGTGTCAACTATTATTCATAGTTCCAAGTGGCTATATTCATAATTTGTTTAACTCAACACTTAAGTGTTAAACAAAAAACTGTCACGCTTGGGGGGGGAGAATGGCAATTTAATTGTCGTTGTTAGTTAATTCAGTGGTCGATAGAGTTACCGTTCCAATGTTGTTATGCCTGGCCAAAAAGTGCCTTAATGTGTCAAATTCGGTGCAGTCCTGGAGTACATGCTCTGCTGTCTGGGGCACCTTTCCATGGGTGCACATGGCTGATATGCTTATCTTGAATTTTGTGTACATATAGTTACATAATCGGCTGTGCCCTGTTCTGAGGAGGAGGATAATTACTTGTTCTGATCTGTCCATAATAAAATAGTCGTCTTGTGCTGGGGCTGGTGGTTTCCTGATCAAAACTAATCTTGATATCTAACTACCCTTTCCCTTTCCCTACTCCTGTGCATACAAGTACAGCTACTTTCATTTTATTCTATGAGCCACTTTTGCTGTTTTCTTGGTTAACCAAGACTGTTTCTAAAATCAAAATAGCTCACGTTGGTGTGCAGTGTCAGGATCCAAACCCATACACACAACATTCTAGTGTATATATTCATGTGGGGTCGACGACAGTGCGTGCCCGCACGTGCATGTGTCTCTCTCTCTTTCTGCATTACTTTTAAAATGTATATCTTCTCTAGATGATTTCAACACAAATAGGAAGGGCACTGTCTTTAAAAGACATGTACTGAATTCATTTCTGACCATAAACATACCCTGTCTCCTTGTCGAACAGGTTCTCCCTTCTGTCCTACTTTATACAACAAGCTGTATGCTATCTTCTGGGCTCGGCTAAGCAATTTTCCATAAGTGAGATTGAATGTGGGCTTGCCGTTGGCATCAAGCACTGTTATTGCATTAGCCTTGTATGTAGAAGAGCCATAGCGCTTCAGTGCTCCTTCAAGATCTATAGGCAAGCCTGACGGGATCTGCAAGAAAAAGTAATCCAAATAAAATTAAAGCAGGAAGAGTAATTATAAGCAAACAAAGTTAGTAAAACATGAACTAAAGACAATAAAATTTCATACTACGTATACTTAGAATTATGTCAGAATTAAAGGTGGATTAAAAAAAAAAAAAGAAACAGTTATGAGCCGTCTCCAGGATGAAGATTTGCTGCAGTGTAACCTACTGATGACTAGAAATATCAAGCAGTGAGGCTCCATGAACTTCCATGATGCGACTTTAGTAATGTTGTTTGATAACCATGAAAATATGTTTAATTTTATTAATAAACTGTCAACCACAGAACCTTAGTACTCAGAGATCACACTATTGTTACTCCTGTTTAAGGCAGAGCTGCAATATTTAAGTCTTTCTGCAGAAACATCCAACTTCTTATAGGATTTGTTTCCTGGGGTTAGCCTTTCCAGATGCTACCATGTACACGTCTAATGAAAAAAACAACTTTTACTGATTCTTATTTAATGTCTGCATGTGTCTTGTCACAAATAACAATGAATGATTAAGCAACACTGTATAATACAGAAGAATTCATCAGCAGATTCTACTACATTGTACTATATTTTATACTATGCTTTACTCTCCTGAACTGTACTGTCACAGTGCACAGTATTCTGGAAACTATATGTTGTCTATGCAGCAAGATCCCTTCTCTGCCTTGTCTACTCCAAAAGGTAAAGTAACACCAATAAGTTTGGATGAAGCAAGCTGAAGAATCAGAAGAACATGCTTTGCCCATCTGTCTGTCAGAGAAAGTACTGCACTACATACTGCAATAAGCTAAAATATGTTTGAAAAAAAAAAATTAATGGCCACATTCTGTGAAACAGGGACACCAGAGAGACCCTGCTTAGAACCATCATCAGGAAAGGCTCAACATGGGCCTAATGAACAGCTAATACCTAAAACAGGTGGCAACAAACTGCCAGACATGGAGAGCTTTGATCTCTGCCCTATGCTCAAGAGGAATAACTAACTAACTAATAAATTCTATGAAACAGATATAATGAATTAGCAGCACTGTGAGTCACAGAAAGAACTGATCTCACCACAAGAGGTTCCCCTGGTTGTGGCACAAGTTCTTTTCCTTCAGGTTTTGGTGCATTAGGATCTGTTGTAGGAGCTGTCAACGAAAGAAAAGCAATACATGGGACTGTGTAAAGCATTTGCATAACTCATATTATATTGCATGAGGAGCGGCTTGCCGAATTGTTAAGAACACTGGTTGGAATCATAAGTATGGTTCTGGATTCTTCTTTCTCAGGGACAAAAATAAAATCCCAACCCACAGTCATGGTGGCAATACTAGCCCTACAATCCTTAATCCTCAGATTCAAAGACCATCCTGCCTACACTGCAAAAAGATGTAATTACAGGCAATAATGGCAGAGACAGTTAACTCATAGTCAATGCTTGTGTAGTGGTAGATACAGTATGGTGCCAACAGTGATCCTTAGTCACCATCATCATCCTGTTGTGCTGTTATACATTTCAAGGGGAATGCAGTCTATTCTGTTATGTCCTGTGCAACTGTTTCTTCTTCTTCTCTGTGTTGACCGGCTGTGGAAAGTTCTGATTGTTTGTTCCAAAACCTGAGTGTTGCATGCACATCAGTTTTACAGATCTGAATGTATGCAGATTGTTGGTTTCTTGCCTCTCAGGCAAATGCATTCAGGCTTTGACTTTGACAGAAGCCTCCAGTTAGTTGACTTTTACAACATGCTTGTTGGGGAGGCAGCGGGTCTGTTCTAGTTTTCCCCACAATGAGGCATAGGAACCCACAAGGAAATGTGCAACTGTTTCAGTATCATGGATGGAGAGGAATCCAACACCTTTGGCCTCTCTCATCAACATCTTAGGGACAGAGTTTCTTTTAAACTTCCTCGTTTCCTCAGTCCATCTGTATCCCATTTAAGTGCTTGTTCGGTGATTCTCTGTTCGCTTCTTCTCAATATGTGCCCAATACATCACCATCTTCTCTGTCTTATTACTGCAGACACCAGCGGCTGGCACACATTTCTCCCCACTCCTAGCCTTGCATATCTTATCTGTTTTATTTAACCATTCTGAGGCTGAGAGCCTCATAAAATTAGCAACTTGAGTTCTAAGAATGTAAAGGAAGCTGGAAAAAATACTGACTTTCTTACTTTCGTATCGGTTCTGCAACACCCAGTAAAGGCTACGCATTTAACCAACCGACCACTCCCCACCCCCCCCACCCCCCACCCCAACCCAAGCACGTACACACACAAGCATTATTGATTCTAAAGAAGACACCTGCACAAGAAACCTTTCTAAAGTAGATAGGGGGTACAGCAAGTAAAAAGTAAAAGTAAACAGTCATTTTCAATGATGCTAGATTCATTTGTATGGGTTAGATCTGAATTCCATGGGTTATGGTCAGTAGCACTGCTGGCTGCGTGGATTTTTATCATGGCATGGGGCGTCACAGGTTAACCCAACCTAAAATGGGTACCAGTATGAATGTCTTGGGAAAGTAAAGTTGCCCAGCGTAATGCTGACCACATTACCCACCTAGTGTCGATGTTCTGTAAAAAAAATATGGGTGCTCCTTCCATATTTCCGAAACGCTTAAAGGCATGAAAAAATATCTTTACTTTTTTTTTCTCTTTATATGGTCAATATCATATCGGCTGCCTTTAATTCCCAGATCATTACCTGGCACCCATTTCAGCTGGGTTGACATGGGAGCCAAGGTCAATTTTAAAGAAGAAAAAAAATCCAGACTAGAAGCAGGTCTGAACTTTAGACCTTTAGGCCTGCAAGCAAATGTCTAGCCAACACTCTTCTACTGCTCCAACAAAACTCAGTAGTAATTTCTATTGTGAACACAGGAACAACAAACATCGCTGAACACAAACTTTCCAATGGAGGCATGTACAACAAACATCATTAAACACTAACTTTCCATTGGAGACATGTACAACAAACAACAATGAACACTTAACTTTTCAATGGAGACATGTACAACAAACATCACTGAACACAAACTTTCCAATGGAGACATGATCATGTCAAACATCACTGAACACTTAACTTTCCAATGGAGACATGTACAACAAACATCACTGAACACAAACTTTCCAATGGAGACATGATCATGTCAAACATCACTGAACACTTAACTTTCCAATGGAGACATGTACAACAAACATCACTGAACACAAACTTTCCAATGGAGACATATAACAAACATCACTGAACACTATCTTTCCAATGGAGACATGTATAACAAGCATCATTCAATACTAACTTTCTAACGTTGCCTCCTCTTCGTCAACAAAGTACTCCCTCAGTGGCTTCCTTTTTGGTCTCTGAAAGTTTTACAATTTGTTGTCATAAGTCATTTAATTAACAAAATTGAACAATAACTCATTTCTCATAGACAAGCATTATCTATTTTGTAAATACTATGTCAGTGATATATATGTGAAAATGTAATATGATTATTGTTGAGTTTTATGCAGGAAAATAATTTTTACAGGTTCTGTTAAGACTCTGAATGCTCTCTTCCCCATCTAGACTACTCTAAAAATGCTCTCTCATATCTTACCTGTCTTTAACCCTTTCGATCCGAAACTTCCAGGAGGGTCTAATCCCTCATAGATGCCACCTAACCAGTATTTCTGAAGTGATGTGTTCACGAGATGCCTAGCGGACACCACTGATTGTGTTTGTGCTGGCACAGTGTTTAGGAAATAAGTATATGAATATATTTACTATAAATAGCCAGCGGGTGGGGGGAGGGGGTGTCCCCATTGTGAACCAAGCACTTTTTTTTAAAGCTATGACGGTGTCACATTTTCCCATGGCAGAGGTTACAACATAATAGTCCAATACATGTTTTAAGGTTTATGGGAAAATATTTAATGTAACGCTTCACTCTGTTCGTGTTTAATGATTACCTCCTTTATATCCTGTTAAAATCTGCTCTCTTCCATTTTTTAAATAATAGTACTTTTTTTTTAAAATTTACCCCAAACAAAGAAAATCCCATAATTCTTGGAAAATTCCAATATTTTATGGGTTGGGGTTAGGATCTTTGTCAGCCATGACCGCCTCAGAGACATCGACTAACACTAACCCTAATTCTAACTCTAAATCAGAATGCTTTCCACTAACATCCTAAACAACTTTAAGAATGCTTTCTCCCATGTTCTAAACAACTTTAAGAATAAAAAAAAAAAAAAGGCAAAGAAATAAAAGAATCGTCTGGACATCTGCTGGTATTAATAGTTATCAGACAAAGAAGATATACTGGACACATCATGAGAAGAAGCGGTCATGAAATCACCATTCAATGTGATGGGAAACAAATGGATTGTAGATGCAAGGATGTCCAAGAGAAATCTTACAACAAATGATGAGAGAGAGGTCACACTGGTGGGTCTCACAGAAATCGTCAACAGCTCTTGTTAAAAAAAAAAACATTTATATAAATAAAAAGAAAGCAACTGAAGTCAGAACTCACTTTTAACGTATTCAACAGCTGCTGTATTTTTGCAGACACTTTGCCATGAGCTGGTGCTGCAAGTATATGATAACAGGTTATGACATTTCCACAGAACAAAGCTAGCCATGCAAAACAGGTTCCAAATTTAAGTAACAGCACTCCCAAAATATACATTTCTTTCAAGTCTAGGACAATCTTTAATATTCAATTACTCTCTGTGGTTCATTCTGATGCCCCTGTGGAGGAGGGGGAGGGGGGGGGGGGTTTATGTCTTAACGAGCATGCTGTAAATTGCAACTAAGATTTAAAATGTTGGGTAAAAGGCCCATATATTGTAGCCTAGTTTTAAATACACAACAAAGCCAACCACCCTTTCGAGGATCAATGCAGAAGAATAAGAAATACAGTCTGTTTTAATGTAGTTGATTCTTAACAGGATGTTATTCCTCTTGTAAATCAAACAGCAAATACTGTTCACAACCAAAAGGGTAAGTAAACACAGAGTAAAATATGCCAATAAAACTCAATAAAGTTAAAAGAAAAGACCAGACACACACTGTGCGAGGGAATCACTTGTGTTGAAAGGTGCAGTAAATATCTAGCTGCAACCACAACAGTGCCAAATAGCGACAATGAACAACACTAACAACACAACAAGAGACACGGTTATGAATACCTGCATTTGAGAGAAAGTTTGAATGAGACCATGTGTGGATTATACTGATAGACAAAGAATGAAGTGGTTCAGCAATCCCCAGTGAGAATGCAGCCAGACCAAACTGCATATGAAACTTTTTACAGCAGAACATCTGGGAGGAAGGCAAGAGAAAGACCAAGACAGAGCTGGATAAATGGTGAAGCTAAAACCTGCAAAAAGAGGAACAAATTCATCGTCCTAGTCACCCGAGAAGCCCAAGATACATACAGAAAACCATGACACTGGACTACAACCTTGTCTCAGTGAGATGACAAAAGAAGAAGAAGAAGAGCCCCAATCCAATGTGCCAACCACGCTTTATGGGCGAACACAGAAAATTCACAATGATGTAGGTCAGTGAGAGTTATGCCACGGAGGTATAATCAATCTCATAAATCGAATGGCTATAGAAAAAGGCATTTAAAAATGCATAATAATACCATTTGACTAATCAATAACGAAACTGTAATTTAAAAAAAATCAATATGCAGCAATAATGAAAGAGGTAACTTCAGTATTCAAAGTGACCGACATATTTCATACAGTATATAAACACTATTATTTGAACCAATACATGCAGGAGCAGCTTTGGCATAGTGGCTATATATTCGCCTGTCTGCCCAAAGATCTGAGGTTGGACTCCACACGAAGGTGACTTTTCCCAGAGCTGATACTGGATCTCAGGTTTGCATGGGCTCCTATTTTCATCTCCAGGTTAATGTTTTATAAATAAACAATATTTAGACTTCCCATCTGTACTGGAACGGATATTTTCTTTGTTGTTTTCATCAGTGCGTAATTTTAGTTAGTTAACAAAACAAATTTTAGAGTACTAAAGTTAATAACCCTAACCCAAACCACATAAGTTATGTTTTTGCAACTTGTCACAAACTTAGAAAATGATCCAGCAAACTAATTTTTTTTAGCTCGTAGCCACACTTTCAACGAAAACTGTTCAGAATTTAGGTAAAGAAGAAGAAAAATATGTTTACATTTAAACTTTATGCTGTATCGCTTAAAATCCAGCATTGATGATCACATATTTATATTCTTCAAATAAGCAAAAGTAACATTGAGAATTAAGTAAATAATATACAATCACATCCATTTATTTTCCACTACAGCTGAGATAATAATTTGTTTAACACTGGCACCAATGTCTAAAGGCAGACAGAATGATAGAGACCACATCATCCATCAAGTTCCGACTGGTCTATAAACACACATATCTAGCACTGGAAGCCCAAGGCCCAAAGGCACGAAAGCAGTTCTTTACTAATCCATCCTGCTTGAGATTGGGGGCTATGCAAAAGCTTGATCACCTATATCAGTTGGCAAGGCAGTTGCTGATATAATATTATATACATCTAAACCAATGGTCTCCAACCTTTTTCAGGTGCCCCCCAACCCTTCAAGTATAAAGACGCCCGCATATGCGCGCACGGACGCATGCATACAAGAAAATGCGATTAAAAAGGAGGACAAAAAAAAAAAAGATCTCAAGTAAGTAGTTTTAACAAGAACTTGGAGAAAAACACGCACATAATTTAAAGTGTGAAACAACCAAAGAAACATCCCCAAGTGGTAATTAGCATCCAAATATCAACGTGATCAGTGTTTTGTCTTGAAGATATCTGCTATTACTGGTCTCATTGACTGGACAAAGCACAAAGGAGATCATTCTGCACATCCACTTGCAGCACTGTTTTGTCTTCGTGACAGTTAAAGTGAAAACCCGCATTATTACAAATACACTTAATTTCAAAGTTTCTTGGTGCCCCAACCCAAACCTTCCTTATGTCCTCCAGGTTGAAGACCACTGCACTAAACAGATCCTACAGACCCCTTTATTTCTCTGCTTTTAAACTGGTATATAAGGTATTTATCATAATCACGTACCAAGTAGGACATCACTCTCATCACAGCCCTCAAAATATTTTCAAAACTTTACGTCAAATCGCAAAGGTCCAAAATTTAAAGGCCCAATTTTCAAGTATAGGGTGCTTTTCATATTTGTATACACTAATCATCACTCTACTGGTCACGTGGTCAGTAATATCTTTACTTTCCTTGACATTTCCTTATATTAATTTTAGACTGGGTTAACTTAAGAGCACAGGTAATATGTAAAAATTCGACAATGAAGGGGATCAGAACCTATAACTACCCAGCAGACAAGCAAGTCTACTAGCCTGTGAGCTACTGCAGCTCCCACATACAAGGAATTCTTAAACACAGCAATGGTATCACATTTAGTGAGAAATACCTTCTGTAACTGACATTCAGTTTTACATTAACTCTGACAGTACCCCATCAATCCTAGAAAGTGTTAACGTTAAGTAATAAACGCCTGGGTCAGAATGACTTAAAAATAACGTGGAGGAGCTGAACTAAAAATTGCATCAGTTTGGATTAGTATAATAATTCGGTGTGTCATAAGGAGGCTAAACATTAATTTTTTTAATGTAGGCAGAACCTACCGTATTTACGCAGGTATAGGTCGCACACAAATACAGGCCGCACCCAGTTTCTGAGATGATAATTTTAGAAGAAAAAAATTTTCTTAGAAGGTTGCTGAGAGATGGAAACCACAATAGTAGTTCCTGAATGACAGGCAGCATAACAGCAAGCTACAGATGTAAATTCAAGTTGCAAGTAGTGCATTATGCGCAAGAAAATGGAAACCGAGTGGTGGCAGCAAGTTTAATGTGGGTGAGAAAAATGTGTGAAGATAAATTGGAATCAAAGATGCTCCTGAAGAAAAAAAAAACTCCAAAAGTCGATACTTTTCCCCTGGCAAGAAGGTGAAATACCTGGAAATAAAAACCAGGAATATGTCAAGAAAATATGGGCAAATGGATTTTCTGTGTCAGTGGAAATGTTACAATTTGAAGCGCATAAATTATCGGACATCACAGGAATTCATCAGAGGGAATTTAAAGCTTGTCATGGCTATGCAAGGCTCTTTATGGCACACAATGACCTCGTGAATTCACAGTGGACAACAATGATACAGTGACTTCCCAACACCTACCAGGAGAAACTGCATTTGAAAAACATGTTCTGAAGTGACATATAGGCCTACTATCTTGAATATAAGCCACATCATATTTTTTTTTCTGTTCTTTTCACCGGGTCAGTCTCCCTTCATGTTGTGAAAGTTACTCCCGTGAGTTTGGGACTGATCCCGGAACTTTTGGCCAGACAAAGTGCAGTAGAACTACACTCTGATCTTAGCCAAAAGGCCAAGAAGCCAATTCATATTTTGATCAATGATTTTCAGTTAAAATACTGAAGCCTATACATGCCTTAATACAGCAATATACATACAATGGGTGTGAATGAGTAAAACACTGCAAAATTAACATATAGTCAGAGAGAACCATCTGTCACTTACCATCTTCATCGATCATCCCAGAAACACCTCCTGAGGCATTCACCCGCACAGATGACTGGTTGTATCTGCCTACCCTGTCAGCCTGACGAGTTGTCTTTGCGTTGTTGGTAACATCAGGGGGCTGTGATGCTAACTGATGGGCTGAAATAACACAACTTTCATAATGTGTTCCATAACATAGATTCCGCTCTGCAGAAGTCATTAACTGACATGCACACTATTTGACTAAACATTTAAGCAATAGACTGAAGGTATAGACTGCAAGCCCTATGTGACATACAATGGCACAGATTATGTCTGTCACTGAACTGCTGTCACTGAAATGTGGCCACCCAGCAAAAAAAAAAAACAACAACATTCACTTGCATTTCTGAGCAAGTAAATGCAACAGGACAAATGGTTATCTAGTTAAGGTGATACAAATAATGTGAATAAAGCAATTACCCTTTTCAGGCCACTGGTGCTTCAGGCACATAATGCTGCATCCATTTTATAGACTGGTACACGAAGAGTGATATAAAGATCACAGTGGCCACCTTTACTTCCCATGACATTTCCTAGTGCCTACTTTAGGCTGGGGTTGCCCTGAGAGCCAAGGCCAATAATTTAAAAGAAAAAATATAAAAAGTCTACTGCAGTTGGATTGAACCTACTACATTTGGACCAGTAGACAAACTAGCAAACTTTTTATTTTTTATTTATTTTGTATCATTATTTTTTAACTTGTGCTGTTTCAACAAAGAAGGTTATTTGCAATGTACCACATTTGTCTGTGCATAAAACAACAGGTTCTCCCACATTTTTTAAGTTTTAAATTTGGGGTCGTCTTGTATATTAAATGTTGCAATTAAATATATACATAAATACATATCGCTATACATAAAAACACCGCACCTGTGCATGCAGCACAGTGATTTATGTGTCCTTTCATGGCTCAAAACAATCCGCCCAGGATCTAGTCTGATCATAATCAAATCCCCACAATTCTTTTCACCAAAAAGATAATCAGATTCCATTTCAGTATTGGGTTCTGAATTATCAGCATCTAAAACTAATTCGTCAGCCTCTGAATCACTTGCTGGGCTGGGTAATGGATTATTTACACACATAATATGATATAGTTTCATTGTGGAAAAGGTTAATAAGTTCAAAAGGTAAACTGCCTATCTTAATTCCTTCCAACATTGATTTCTTCTTCTTCTTTTTTCTTCTGTATTTGCCCTTTCAAAAAATGGTAGCTAGACTGCCAAACACAAAGGAGGATGACCCCAATTTCTGCCCATTAATTGGGGTGAGGGGGGTGGGGGGAGGCATCATTTTGAAACTAACAGGGTTGATTTTTGGACGGCTGGAATGAATTAAGAAAATAGTTTCAGAATGTGAGTTATTCCCTATAGGAGTTTAGTAATGGAATGGATTGTACTGTATAGGAGTGCAAATTGTTAATATTGTGATTTTCATAGTTATAGTGTTCAGTAATTTCTGATCTCCAAGTAGACAGGTCAAATCCCCAGACCTAGTAACTCTTTCAATCAACTAGGCACTGTCTCCACATGTTGAGTATCACATCTTTTGAAAACAATGGCATGATGTATGATGCCCCTTAACAATCATAGGAGTAAGCTATAGCTGCAAAATAAGTAGTAACTTTGGGTAATCATAAGGATTTGAATTTCTTAAAGGTTCGACAAGGCCATTATGTCTGGGCTCTCCCAAAAGATCTTGTATTATCATTTACTGAAAAATATGAGAGAAATACATGTGTTGTGAATGGACTGTACCTTGAGTAACTAAATTTTTAAACAAAAAAATTATTAGTGTTGAAAAATGTAGGCACCAGTCTAGTACATTCCAGTTTTTGCAATTAATTTATATTACTGTCGATGATGTTTAGATTAGGCTACCTATTAGATTTATAACATTTCTGAATAAGATTTATTACCATACTTTAGAAACAAAAATTATTTCAGTTTAGGTATGTAAGTACAACTTCAGCACATGCCACTGTTTGTAATTAAGACTTAAATGTCGCTAACAAATTTTACTATTACGTAAGAAATGATGTATGAATGAATAAATGCACACAAGGAGCGAGACTGGAAGGTCAGAATGTTAGATGCGCCTGCATGCCTATTTCTTAGCCCTGTGAAAATAAAGTTTACTCGTTTGTCTGTTTATGATTACAGTCGTAGATGCTTTCATGTGAAAAACAAATATGACCCGTATAAGAGGATAGAAGATTCCCACTTCTTCACAGAGTAAACACATCTACGACACAAGCACTTACACAGCCGGGCATTCTGCATCACATCAGCTAGAGCATGTCTGGCTGTATTTCCGGGGATGGCATAGTTAGACAACTGTGCACTTCGTGGTCTCTCCGACGGTCCCCCTCCTCCACCTCCCCCGCCGTGGTACGGTGAGGCACCATGATCTGAATAAGAACTGGAACTGGCGCCAGAGTCCCGTGTATGACCGCCACGCTGGAAATTTCGTAGCTGCTCCTCGTCAAATACACTGTCATCGTCAGATGATGAGTCTGGTGAAGTACAAAATAATTGAAAGATTTATTTATTTACCTTCATCTGATTATTAGAATTAAAATATGTACACAAAATAACAGTAAAGTAAAAAGTCCATTTTCAACCAGTGATGCATCCAGCAAGATAGAAAGATAACATTAGTGACTCTTCAGCAGCACAATGTGTCTATGGTCAAGGCAGCCAGACAAGCAAGAAGTAGAGCCTCATATCTCCCTTGGCGCCCAAAGAGGTAAAGAAGAAAGTGAAGAAGGAGAAGAAGATGAATTGGGAATATGATGCTATACTCCTCTAGCTTTTAGTTTTTTATTAATAAGTATACCTTTTCCTTTATTTTTGCCAACACTGGCATCTAAATGTGTGTGTGATCATATCACTTAAAAATGGGGCTCCAATAATGGTTTATCATTTGCTTGACTATTGAAGTTTGGAGGTCAGTAATGTGCTGCACTGGATTCCACAGATGATACAGAAAGGACCTTACCGCTTACCTATGGGAATATAACATGCTGAGGTTCCTAGATTTTCCACAGTATGACACTCATACCACTGTCTGAAAGCTACAAGAACTATCTTTTTATTTTAAACCACTCACTGTGAGAACAGAACCCTGATAAATGCTGAGGATTGTATAAGACATAACAGAATGATGATAATGCATTACCAAATAAATAATGAGACTGCACATTACCATAATGAGAAAAATTAATTTATAAGTAAAAGTAAAGTTAACAGAACTTTGTCCAGGCCTTCAGGCATTGAAGATTCTAATCTGTGTTAAAGGAACATGCTGTCTACTGCCAAGGGTATCAATTACATAAATGTGTCTCTCATATGTGTGTTACCAGGGCCAAAGAGGAAAGGTAATAAGTGTCATGAGTAAATGTCATTAGAGGTGACTTGGGAGGGTTGGTGTGAAACAGACTAACTCATCCTACTTAAAACTTCTTCCTCTCTTCCTCTAGTTAACTCATAAAACTGTTAAGGCGAGATGCAAGGATCTTCTGTGTGCTCTTTCTAATGTGTTGTATAAGTTGATGTTCACTTCTTCAAAGTTGTTCTTGATGCGGCCGTTCCATTTTAGTGTGAGGTCTTCTCCTTGTTCTGTGTCCATTATATTTCTTCAGCAAGCTCACTGTGGCAGCTGGTACCACCGCATTCTCATCAGATGTGCAAACCATCTCTTCTATGGCTCTGATTAATTTATATGACTGGTTCCAGTCTGCGTCTTCTATTTTCTTCATTTTTTTTTTCCCTAATATATTGTTTGTCTTCCTGTTACTTCAGCAGCTCTTCTCAGACAACTCATCTCTATTGTTATTGAAAACTTAAAATGCAAAATCCATTCAACCAAACACAGGTCTACAAAGTATTTGGGCTGAATTGATTAAAGGTCTACGCTCCAGGGAGATAAAAGGCAAGAGGAGGAGGAGAATGTACCCATGAGTTCTCCTAAAGTTTTCCATTGTTATAAAAAAGAATGTGGTGCACTATCCTAGAATCTTGGCTAAGCATATCACCATTCTGGGATTTTTTAAAGAGCAGTCTCTGTTTTCCAGCATGGAAGGATATTGTGACAGCAGATGACCATCTAAAAAGCTAAGTTATTATTATTTGTAGTCATTTACACAGTTGTATCAGAGCCTGTGTTTTTGTATGCTGATCAATGCTTTCTAGCCACCATTTTTTTACTTTATCATTTGTGAATGAGTTTAGAAAGTGACTAGCTCTTGTTGTAAAATCCATTCTGTGTGGTATTGGTAGTCATATCTATCCACCATCTTGTGTACTTTTCATCACTTCTGACATAGACGAGCTTCCATGTCATTACGTCAAACATCATCTCTTTTGGTCTCTCACAATGATTTTCTTTCCTTTCAATTCCCCTCTCATCAAGATGTACTCCAGTTTTCTTCTCTTGAAGTGACCAAAGAATGTAGACTGTCTCCTTCAGATGTGGGTAATTATCAGCTAGTTTCTTTCAAGCCATCTTTATTACTTTTTTCATATATCCATGATGTTCTCAAAATTTGTCTACAAAACTGCATACTTGCAGCCTCCAAATATTTTCAATAAGCAGCTATATGTCCATGATTAATTTCTGTAAAGCAGAATTAGCTCTTCAAGAACTCTTTTTCCTTACCTCACCTGACCAAAACAGACTGCGTAGAATATTCTTCATTTTGTGAAATCAATAACTAAATGATAAAGAAAAATGTGCTATAAAAATAAAACTTGACTATTTCTACTTTTAATTTGCTTGGGTTTCTTATTGTGTAAAAATCCACACGGCTGATAAAACATGTGAGCATCTGTTATGAGTCATTGACACAGGTTTATATGGTCCACTAGAGCATGTACATCTGAGTTATCAACACATAACAGAAGAGTGCACAGTGAGTGGCCAGTTAAGGGGAAAAACCTATTTACTCTAAAGATAGTTAAGGGCTATTTTTCCTGTGCTAATCAATAACTGCTGTACAAGCAGGCATGTTCATCTGGCTTTCTTTTGTAGTGAAATGTCAGCCTAGATGCAGTCATGGCTGATGTAACAAGGTAATCCCACTTTCCCACAGGACCCAAGAAATAAACAAGAGTTAAACAAAACAACTGGAGAAGAGAATTAAAGACAGAGGTGGAAAAAAAACCCAGTGATACAGAGAGAAAGATGAAAAAGTTACGGAGGACGTAGAGAAAGAAAGATGAAAAAGAAAGAATGGGCATAGAGAGAAAGATTAAAAGGAAGGGAGAACACAGAGAGAGCTGCATGAGATGACAAGGATAGAAACATGAAAATATAGAGAGGACAGAGACAGCTGAGTGACATGACAAAGGATAGACATGAAAAAAGATATGGAGGTCACAGAGATAGCTTCGTAAGATGATAAAGGACAGAAAGATCGGGAAAAAAACACAGAAAGGACATAGGCTGTGAGAGATGACAAAGGAAGGCTTGAGGAGGGCTGGCTGTGGAGACACACAAAAAAAACAAAATAAGAATGACAGACACTGCAAGAAATTTCCAATGACAACATAAGTTTTAGGCTTGACATACAAATCAGTCCAGGAGCTGTTCTACGGCTTAGAGTCTAGTGAATGCATTTAAAAACCATTTCATAATCCTCAAGAATTAGTGTTTCAATTTCCATGATAAACACTTAAAAAGAAAATTTAAAAAAATATATATATATATATATATATATTTTTTTTAAAACAAAATTCTTGCGATTTTCACATAGTGGTGTGAGAGTCACACTGTGGAAGACACTGGGGCCTCACCATGGAATACTCCCAGAAACAGTCTGTGCACTGTAGCCAACCTTGATTTTGGAGACCGCACATAGATTTAATACAAAGAAATCAGTCGACAGCCATCATCACATCAAAACAATAAGACCCCAGCATATTTTGTTCTGAATCATTTAGTTGCATTTATATATAAGCTTCTTCTAATCCATCTCTTGCTGGTGTCCATCCATTCGTCCATAACATTGTCTATCTTCTGCATGCTTTCCTCCGGGTGACAAATGGTTCTTTTTTAATGAGCAGTAAAGGTAAAGAACATGAATCCACTTCAGGGACTGAACCCACACCACTGCCTGGCTAAGCTAAGCATTAACGACTATGCTAATGCAGTTCATGTTACTGGTATTTATGTTAGCCAATATCTCAGAACATGCATTGTTATTTAACACCATCGCTTAGGAAAAGCGAAATCTAGTCAATTCCTGTTGAGACCCCAAACCATGAATGCTGAAATATCACCACTTCTGCAGCGACCTTTTCTCAAAAAGTGTTGTGTTAAATGCCACTGGTTTTCTATGCATCTGTGAAATGTTTAAGGGGAGCGGATGTGAAAATATTCACTAAATACAACATTCAGATGGATTTCCTTGTGAATTCAATGGGTTTTTCTTAAACCAAGGTTGAATTAAAATTTTCCCATCAGCCTCAGTGATAGAGGATAAGGCATGAATAACCAGATATGTTTGTTTCAGGCAAAGAATGCATTCCATTCAATGTTTCGCTCTGTTCTTGTTTACTGATTACTCCCTTTATATATCTTTACACATTTTGAAATAATTTTGAAAATGTAGATAAATAAATTCCTAAACAATTTATTAGTTATCCGTATAAAATGGTTGGTCTTTGAAAAGGATTTTTTTTTTAAAAATTCACACAGGTTCAGAATTGTTTTCTTTTTCTCTCCAAGCATTCATGGGGAGAAAGAGTTAAAAATCATGTTACATTTGCCAAGTTGTCATGCTGTATAGACAGACATGAATATATTATACAACAACATCACATTGTACCATTTACAAATTCTCCACTACATGCCCAAAATTCTAGGCGTAATTTTATTGTGTTGTGAATTTATCATGTCTGTACCAAAGAAAGTGCCAAATTCTTGTTCTGAGACAACTTAGTTTTAACACTGACTGGCAAAAGAAAATTGTGTAGCTGCATGAAAAGTAGTACTTCATTTTCATCCATTTGGAGTAGGAATTCACATACCTACCTTTGGCAAATTGTAAAGTGACAACAGCCCTGAAAATTAACTTAGGTGTAAATCGGCAAATATACATTTTGGCAACTCTGGGTAGTGCCAACGATTTATGAGTCCATAATGGTCACACACGAAATTACCATAAGTAAAGTGTTGTTCCTGCCACTTCTGGATTTATAAGAACCAGACACAGCAGTCTTTCTACAATGTGGGTTTAAAATTCTAACAAGTAAATGCTCTTCTTTTATGTGGGATCGCACTGAACATATCAAGTAGGGTTGTACCGAATAGTGATTTTCGAATACGAATAGCTGGACCAACTATTCGGCCAAATACGATTAGTGAATCATCATCATCAGGTGCTTTACCGACTGGCATAGGCGATTATGCATCGCCACAATCTGCGATCTCCTGCAGCATGTATTAGTTCATGTGCTGACACACCTCCATGCCATGCAACAAGACTGTCAAGAATCTTCTCTCGTTGTCTTCCTCTGTCCCTCCTTCCACAGATCTTTCCAGTGGTCACCACATGTTCCATTTTCCCTCATCTTATAACATGGCCGAAAAATGATGACTGTCTCCTTCTGATGTCTGTGAGTAGTTGTCTTCGGGCTCCTGCCTCTATCAAAACCTCTTGGTTGCTTTTTTTTTGGCTGTCCAATGTATTTTAAGCAGTTCTGTAAAACCACATCTCTGAGGCCTCATGAAATTGTTTGGCCTGCCTACCGATTGTCCAGGACTTATAGCCATATGTTAAAACTGGATGTATGCAGTAAGCAAGAATTCTTTATCTAACCTTCAATGACAAAGATATACTGCATAAGATGTTCTTCATTTTATAAAATGCAGTTTTTGCCTGTCCTATTCTGTTTCTTATCTCAGTAATGCATCCTTCATCTGCTGTTATCCATGTGCCCAAATACTTACATTTCTGCACTTGTCCCAAAATAAAACCAGTGACTTTTATTACACATTTGGAATAATTATTTTCTTTGAAACCACCATTACTTCTGTCTTCCCACTATTCAAACTGATGCCACTTTCGTGTATAAAATAAATCTTTTAAAAAAACATCCATAAGGTCAAATGTTCGCTGAAATTTTACTTCACAAAATGTAGCACAGAATTGTAAACATTTAAAAACATTTCATGTTTTGCATCCTTCAGTCAGTCAGTCTGTGGTAACTAATACCTAGGAATGAAAGTATTCTTAGTTTTATAACAACTAACTAAATTTGTAAATTGTCACTGACAGCTTAGATAATCCATGAAAGCGACTTTAGCTTTCAAAAAAAAAAAATCACTTCATGTTGTCAGCATTAAGGCAGCTTCTTGTCTCACTGAAGGTATTTCCAGCTGTACTAAACAGACGTTCACTTGGTACGCTAGTAGGTGGTGCACAAACATAACGCTTGACAATATGAACCAAGGTGGGAAATCTTGATATGTTTATTTTTCACCAGTCCAGAAACGGGTGTAAGGTAACCACTATTTGTATTCGGTCCGACTGCAACTATTCGGCCGAATACCGAATAGTTATTGGGTCCAATATTCGGCCCTGAAGCGAATCTTCGGTACAGCCCTAATATCAAGTAAAGTGTTCTTCCTACAACATGCGTTTATTTGCCTATAGGTAAAATGGTCTTCCTACATAACAACATGTGGGTTGATAATAATGCCCGCAAGTAAAATGTTCTTCCTGCAAGTGGATTCATAATACCCACAGCATGTAAAGTGATCCCCCCCCCCCCTCAATTTGTGGGTTCATAATGACTGCAGCAGAAAAAGCTGACCAGTTTCATTAAGAACATAAATGTGTACGGTCTCCAGCATGGAGGTTGGCTGCAATGGGTACGAGCATTAGCGATGTCTTTGAGAATATTTTGTGGCGAGGCCCTCATCTCTTCCAAGGTGTAAAATGCATTCACTAAAGTTCTAAGCTGCAGTGGTTCATTAACAACAATGTAATTCTTCCATATCACAAAACATGATCTCAGCAGTTTCTAATCAATAACTGCCACCACACACATTCTATGTGAACAGGCAAAAATTCATTAATTATGCATGTATAACAGAAGCGTACTTCTTTGTGTAAAGAGACATAACAGTTGCTGCAATAAAGTGCTTTCACTGAATGATAACAGAAAACCCTTCTATAAAGAACATAAGCAACACCAGGTGAAGGAATACAGAAGGTATGACATGGATGACACAGGGAGATCAGAGGCTTTACTGGGGGGAGGGTGGTGGGGTGCAGGCATCATCAAGTGATATTACTACTAGTGGGGGTAACACAAAATTTTATTTAAATATGTATGTTTATTGTTTCAGTAGAAATGTTTTAATATCAATTAGTAAGCTTAAAAAATGCTTTATGTAAATATTCAAGAGTGTGTGTGTGTGTGTGCACTGTGTACATGTGCGTGTGTGTGTGTGTGTGTGTTTGGGGGGGGGGGGGGAGGAATTACTTTAATTTATTTGCTATTTGTAATTGTTTAGGGTTAGGAAGTTATATATGCACTGCCCACACATCTCATTCCAGCAAACATGTCATTAGTCATCTTCTGCAGCAAACATGGTAAAGGATGGCAGGCCTATTCTTTCTTCCCCTACCCGCAGCCCAGGAGTTCATACAGGCAAGATACCTAATCCAATATCCTAGGACCAGGAGGAAGTATGCTATTCTTGTCTTATTTAAAAAAAAAAAAATCCAGCCCAAACTATGAACTCACCAGGTCTGAATGAGTTAGGAAGTGGACATTGTATGTAACTTCAAATGCCTTATACCAACACATATAACGTGTTTAAAGTTCAATATAAATATATACTTTCAATTGTGAGACTATTGCTGTCATTACTAGGCCTATCATCTGATCCAGTGGTTCTCAACCTTTCTAATACCGCAACCCTTTAAATAATACACTTGCTCATGTTGTGGTGACTCCCAACCATAAATGATTTTTGTTGCTACTTCATAACTTCAGTGAATATGTGTTTTCCAAAAGTCTTAGGCGACCTCCTGTGAAAGGGCTGTTCCCCAAAAGGGTCGCGACCCACAGGCTGAGAACTGCTGATCTAATCCATTTCTCAGACAATAACTGTCATATTTCATTTTGTATTTCTTCTTCTTTGCATTTGTATACACAAACTATTATACCTACACTGTTGTCTAGAGTGTAAACTTAGATTTTGTAGTTCTTTCAATTATCCATAAATTTTAGCTTCTAATGTTTTGCCTTTGATATGTTGCACTTCTGAATTATGTGGTCTGCTGTCTGCTATGAAAATCCACAAGTGTATCTGGCTAAAATAATAATCTGTAATTCTGTATAATGTGGTTACAGAGTTGACCGTAACTCATTCTAATGAGCAAAATAATTATTTTCTGGTCTGTCCATCTAAATGTCATTGTGCTGTGTTTCTGATTCATTTGAAGATTTTTTCTTTTGGTGGTGTGTGAATAGTAGATCTGGTTGATCCTTTTTTTTTTTGCACCTTCTTTTGCTAACTGATCAACCCTTTCCTTTCATGTCTGTAGAACTGGTACTCTTCTGAGCTGCAGTGTCTTTTGATTTTGGCATCTTTCTATCTTTCCAGATGGTAGAGTTCCACTGTGCTATAGGGAACCATGGCAACCACAGACAATGGAGATCACATAGGATGACTAGCAAATCCAGCTCACATTAACCAGAAACTTCCATAATAAGTATTCAATTTAAGGGCCATTTTTGCCATCACATGTATTTGGCATGTTTCTTCTCAGATGCACAGCTCTGAATTTGTCTGCAATCACTGTCTCATTTGTCCCTGTCTGATTTCTAATTCTCTCCCTTCGTGCAATGTGATCCATGACATCATAGTCCAGTGGATCTGCTTGCATACCTATTATTCATGCCCACTTGTGAACAAGTTTGAATCATGCTTAAGCTCCGGACGTACTGATATATGCATCTGTCAGTAATACAACAGACTAAAAGTCATAAGAGGATCGTTACATGGCACCAGGTTTATCCAATATGGCTCGACCTCTCTCCACAGAACAGCTAGCCACCTGCTGAGAGCGCCGAGAAGAAGTACAAACTTGGTAGCTTTGGCGATGATCCCCAGGGACCTCGGTAAAAACTGCACCCATGAACTGAAGGCCGCAGCTGTGAAGCCAACCCACGGCCTTCAGAGAGCGAGGCAAATGGCTTGACCACTTCACCATGGAGACCCCCAATACAACAGACTGTAAACTATGATTGGTATTCAATAATTTCTCTCTTACTCATTGAGTGGCTGCAGTTCTGCATCATATCCGTAACAGTATCAATCTGTCGGTACTCTGAGACTATACTTGGTTGTATTTGGCTATTCTTTTTCTATTCTAAGAATATTTTTTATTGACAAAAAAGTCTTTAGGATATTTATTATGCACACCAGCATGGCATTAATGATGATAATTAGTAAAATTCATGAATTAGAATATCCGCCTAAATAACAAGGAGAGATAACATTAAAAATGAAGAAATCAGAAGACGAATATATATATATATATATAATGTGATATTTCCATAGTTTATTAAACCATCTCACAAGAATGCCCTGGTACCACAGATACGATCAGCCACACTGAAGGAATATAAGAGATACAAAGCAAGGAGAAGACCAAGCAAAATTTGGAAAGACAGCATAAAAAAAAACAACCTTGGAAAAATGAAGATGAGCTTGCCTTAAATGAAATAAAAAGAGCAAACAGACAACCCCTACAATATCCAGCAAGACTTCATTGAAGTAAATGGAGAAAGAGAAGACTTAATGATCAACAATAGTTTCTGTATACAATCCATGATTACCAACCTTGGCGTTCTCTTCTCTGCTGTCCCTGGTAGTTTACAGATGTCCGTTTGGATGGTAGCGGCATCACAGGCACTTTCCTGCTTTGCATAGCCAGAGCTTGCATGACAGCTTCTGTGCGGATTTCTATGACCAAAAAGAAATATGGAAACAAAGCGTGTACAGCTAGAAAAATAACCTGATGAACACCACAGGAAAACAGTACAGACAACTGCACAAAACTAGTAACATGCATTACAGCTGTACATCTGAATTTCTACATTTTTTTTTTTTTACGCAGCATGTACAAGCTTTTAATGTAACGTCAAAACAACAAATCATTCAAACATAAATGTCGATACTGTACATTCTCCACAACAGCGATTCACGGTCTGTCAAGGATTACACCGATCAATTAGATCACAGAAGCGATAAACAATTAGGTCACACGGGTAATCCAATTTCAAGAAAAATAGCAAGGTAAGATTGTTTAATGGAACTAGAGGTTACCATGCAACTTTAAGCCTAGTATTGCTAGAGGAGAAAATTTACCAGAATGGTATCGATTATCCTCCCTTGTCAGACGCCTCTGTGCCCTCCGGTGGGCAGCTGTTGAAGGACTGGGTGCTCCTGCCCCTGTGCCACCTGTAAAAGATGTTTCCCCATGAGTCAATTATTATCTTATGCATGCAAAATTGTTCGACAAATATATGATTCAGGAAATTCAGCAAAGCAAGACAATTTACACTGTAGAAAAGAAAACATAATACACTATGAAAAACAAATATAAAGATAATTTAAAAAAAAAAAGGCTGACAACTGGAACAATTGTACACACAAAAAAAGGAACATCTTCACTTTCAAGTTATTAAAATATTTAAGACACAATATTCTACATTCCATCATTTTTACCATAAACCACAACATTTATACGGCAAAAGTGGTATCACTGCAATCCCACTGATAAGTTCAACACTACAATACCCTTACTATTAATAAAGCAACTGAAATAGGAGATCAACTTTTAATGTTTCTTCTTTGCTTTCATGTTCATAGGCTGTAAACTCTTGTGGAAAGCTATGGTCATGCATCAACTTCTGGACTTGTCTTGTTCCAGAAGTTGAATTTTGCATGCATATCAGTTTTACAAATCAAATGTATGCAGACTGCTGGATCCTACCCAATTAGACAGACTGACTCCGACTTCAGAAAAACAAATACCTCTATGTAGTTGACTTTTATGACACACTTGTTAGCCATCTGTGGCTTAGGTGTGGAAAACGTGCTTTATTATGCCATGGTCGTAATTTATTCCCCCCCCCCCCCAATTTAATTTCAATTTTCAAATTCTTAAACAAATGCCTAAAGAAATAAGCGAACACTGAAGGTGATGGATTCAAGAAGGGTGACAAAAAATTAAAAGAACGGAGACACAGGAGAGACAGAGAGTACTTCCTGAGGAAAAGCAGACAGTGAATCTCAAGTACTGAAATGAGAAACAAATGGATTGAGATAACAGGGACATCCAAGAGAAACCACAAAACTAACAATGTTGAGTGGCCAAAGGTTCTGGACTGGATTTCAACGGATATAAAAAAAATGCAAAGGAGAGAATACACAATGAAGAACTAGAACTGGCTTCCTACCAGGGGTGCCATACAAAGCGCAAACTTTGTAGCTCCAGCAGCAGCCTTCAGGAATCTCAGGGGGAAAACTGCACTCATGAACCAAATAATGTAGTCCAAAACTGAACTCTTACAACCCAGAGAGTACAAGACAAATAGTTTTACCACCTGACCACAGGTAAATCCCACAGCAGACACTGAAGTAAATGTTCCTACTATATCTGGGCTATTCAACTGGCGGCCAGTGGGCCACATCTGGCCCATGGAGGCCTGGCAAGTGGCCTGCTGGTCACTGGCAACTGTATTGTTTTAATGATCTTTCTATTCTAGGACTCGGGTTTCTGGCCCGTGACGATCCCCAATTCGAGAATGTTGACCCTGAATAAGCTCAGTTGAACAGTCCAGTACTATATGCTAAATCAAAACTTAATAACAGGAGTTATCCTAGTCTTTACTTGCTGCTTTTGATTCCTAGACAGATTTTTTTTATATCAACCTTGCCAAGCTGGGTAAACTTCACAATTACACTGGGTGAGAACACAACTGTCAGTACTAGGAGTTTATGCCAGACCACATTCTGGGAAGTGTGCTTCCATATGTGGAGATGCATGAGCGCCTAAGCCAGTTGGCAAGGCACATGATGATGACGATGAGCTATGTATAACCACGACAGCTGGTAGAGTAGCAGACAGATGCCTGCTTACCAGCCAGAAGGTAAGGATCACATCAAGCTGGATTTTTTCCTAACACCGACCTTGGCTTCCAGGTCAGCTCATCCTTAAATAGGTACAAAAGTAATGTACCACACCTTCAGACATTTTAGGCATACAGTGCTAGACCAACATTTCACAGACCAACTGGCACTCGGTGGGTGATATGGTCAACATCATCATCGGGCCACTTTTACTTCCCAGGACTTTACCTGGTACCCATTTAAGTACACAGAAACATTACACAGAAACGACTATTCCTATACACAGCAACTCTTTCTGAAAACACATGAAGCTACACAGCATTAACTGTTAGCACACAATCTCCTTTTGTAGTGATGATCCAGGTATTGTAATGAGACGTAAAGGCAGCTGGTGAGATGTTAACCACATCACCCCCTCTCCCCCCCCCCCTCCCCCTTTCCCGAGTGCTGATTGACCTTAAAAAAAATTTTAAAAAAGAATGTCTGGCTCCCTATGAATGATGTGCCACAAGCATAAAATAAGAGAGTCCTTTACTTACTGTAGCACATATAACCACACTGACTAGAGCACTATCACAAATATACATAAACAAAGTCAACAAACACCCTGCACATAGGGTAAACACACACACATAATCATCAACAACATAAGACAATGTCAGAACTAATTGCTGAGATGTGATCAACCGCCACCCTAGAGAACAAAGAATACACATATTCACTGCACGATAAGCACAGGTTCCACCCTAGGGTGTCACCAGGTAAAGGCACTAGAACAAACCACTAACATTGAACAGACATCAATATTTTTGGCAGGGGGCACCAGGTGGTTTCAAGGGTGATTAATTCTAAGCTGGACTTAATTCTACTTCAAACAAGTCCCTCTGCGCCAACAATATTTATTTACTCTTGTCGTCATTCACAAGCATTTTGCCTTTGGAAGCAGCACAGGTCAAGCTAAAAATATATTTTCCCTGTATATGTGACTCATTCAAAAGTAACTTGTAATTCAGTTTCAGGAGGACAGAATGTCAACCAGTTTTACTATTCAATGTATTACAGTATAGTTTTGTAAGCAGTTTGTCTTTTTTATGTGGACATACAGTATCTTTGGGATACCCCCTCCCCATTTTACAGTGTCAACTAACCAGTGAATTACAACTGCAGGTACAGAAACTAGCAAGCCATTACTGCTGCTCTTCTATAGTTAAAGTGTCTTTACTGCCTATCTTTACCATTTATTTGGAGTGGTTTTAGGGTCGATTTGGGGCTGAATGGCTAGTGCAGTCACTAGGATTTAACTGCATTTCTTCTTGTTTGCATGCACCGGCTGTAAACTCTGGCAGAAAGTTCTGGTTGACTGTCCACTTTTGAATTGATGGTCTTGTTCTACCACTCGATTTTCCGTGCACATCCATTTTAAAGATCTGGTTTATTTGTATGCAGACTGTCAGTTAGCTCTTTGCCTCACAGGCTGATGCACTTCCACTTCCTCCAACGAACCACCCCTAATTGGGTTTTTTTTAATGACATGCTTCTTTAAGGAAAAGTGGGTCTATTATTGTTTCTTCCACACTGGGACCTCAGTACCCAACATTTTGACTGTTCGGCCAGCCACTCCTCCCATCTGTAAAAGCTGAACATTCATCTCTTTGAAGTGTCAGAGTAGCGGTAAAGTCTCAAAACAACTGCTCCTCTAGATATAGATTCATAAGTACTGATCGTCACTCACAGAAGTAAGGCTGCACCAAACAATATAAACACTGAATGCTACAGGCGGACTGGATTAAAACTCACCACCTGTGAATTCTGACAGCACTACACTGAAGGAACGTGTGCTTCAATGTGCAGTCAACAAGAAAACATCTGATACAGAAGATCCTTAAGTGCTGTTTATCTCCCTGTTGACCCTAGTGCGGCGGTTCTCAACCTGCCGGTCACAACCCTTTTTTTGTGGGCAGGGGGGGGGGGGGGGGGAGGGAGGGGGTCAAAGGACCCCTTCACAGGGGTCGCCTAAGACCACCGGAAAACACAAATCCATTGAAGTTATGAAGAAAAATAGTTGTTTGGGAGTCGCCACAACATGATTTTATTAAAAGGTCATGGCATTAGGAAGGTTGAGAGCCACTGCCCTAGTGGATCTACTATACTAAGCCATATGTACTCCAGACTTTCTAACTATTTTGTGAAGTTATTATATTTATTATATGTATATATGTTATATTTGGCCTTGTTATGAGAAGAGGGAAACTAGAAAATGTTGTGACCACTAGAAAGTTTTGTGGAAAGAGAGAAAGAGGAAGGTAGTGCAAGAAGATTCTTGACAGCTTCTTTGTAGTGAGTGGCATTGAGTGTCAGCACATGAACTGATGAATGCCACTGGAGCAGCAGTTTGTAGAGAGGCATCATCGCAAACATCAGTCGACAAGAATGATATTAAAGTCAACTACACCAGCCAAATTCCTAATGCAATGCTCAATTAAACCCTCTTTTCAATTCATTTACAGCTTGCACTTTTTCTTTAATCTTAAATGTTCACAGATTTGAAACTAGCCTTTAAGTATGAACTGAACATTAACAACAAAAGTAATTTAATTTAAAAAGTATGCTATCAAAAACAAACCAAAAATCTACTACTAAAACAAAAACTATATTTGTAATATATTCTGCTGCTTTAAGACTTTTTAGAAGCAACATTCATCTGTCATTTATTTTTCTTATTTGGCTTGATATCTTTTCATGCTGCTTTAACACTTTCAGTGTTATACACCCTTCTTAGACATCCAGGGGTTGAAACTGGGCTGCAGAGGTATTTCCATTTGTATTAT